GCTGCCAGATATGCAGAGTACTGTCTGTTTAACAACTCCTTTCACATTTCACTCAGAGCCCGCCTCGAGCGCCGGGCAACTGCGCGACAGCAGAGCAAAAAAAAAAAAAAGGAAAAACAAGCGAGCCAATGGTGGCGCCTTTCTTCCCGAGCCTGCAACCAAGGACTTAAAGCAAGGACATGTTATGCAAGACATCACGTTGAGTTCCGCTGCCAGCCTCTGAGGCCGGATGATACGCGTTGAGCGAGTGCGTCGCTCTTTCCAGCCCTCAAATGTTCATCAACGCGCCTTCCGATGCATCTGCGTCCCCACGTCTTCCCCCTTTTGGCGGCTAAAATTAAATTTGACGGCAGATTAACTTCAACGGGGACGGCGGCGCGTCACCTGTGCAGCGATCTGTGCCACGCAACTGGGGGGTGGGGGGGGGGTTGTGCATCCCCACCGATGACAAAGAACGCACAATCGCCCAGTCAACCTTTATCATTGTGATCACAGAGCTGGAGATTTAATGCATGCTGGTATTAGCTTTGACATACAGTCACAATACCGTTGAGGACGGAGGAACACATGCTCAGACAGTGTGTGTGTGTGTGAAGGGGAGGTGGGTGTGGAACCAACAGAGATCTCCCCCACTTCATCATTGAGTAAATGGCACCACAGACGTGAGCCGCGACTTCACAGCTGCCTCATGGCGGGTGACATTGAAGCCCACGCATGAACACATCGCTCATCAAAGCGAATGAGGCAGCGCTCCGCTTCCGCCGCTTGTGCCGAGGAAAAACAACGGCAGCCCCCCCCCTCCTCCTCCTCCTCAAGTGCACACCTGGAATGTCTAGAATCAGCGGTGATGGGAATGAAAAGAAGAGTTTGGCTTCATGCATCTCTCACGAGAAACTTAACAGACTGTAACCTTCCGCTGCTTCTTAATAGGGAGGAAACTGCGAGACCACGACGCCATTAAACATCTCGGAGCGGGTGCTAACAGCGGCTCCGCAATTAACCTGTCCTAAAAACAAACGAGAAGCTTTTGCGTTAGCAACAGGCGCACACTGGAGAGGGTTGATTTCTGCAGAGTGAAACACAAAGGCCCACCAGGCTGCAGGTTTTTATCGGTCATTAGTGTGCTCGTTTCAGCGCAGCTGCAACCGGGATCTGTGAGCCACAAGTTCACCCCCCCCCAAAAACCAGAGAGCCAAAGCTTTTATCCCAGGAGCTAAATGGCCCAGCATTTAATGTCTCACTCAAAAGCCCTCAAAAGTCTCAGCAAAATAATATTTCTCTTAAAAGCAGTCCCTGAAGTGACCAGAATGAAAGCAGAAGAGAGAGAGAAACGGTGCGATTGTGAATGTCCTCTTTTAGCCGGTAAGCACATCCTGCTGCTAGTTCAGTCACATAGTTTGAACACAAAAGCTCCAGTATTTCTCCTTAACTGTCCTCCTTTCTCTAAGTGGAACCAGACGAAGGCATTTCTTCATTCAGCCCATTCAAATGGAGGCAAGTTGCTCCAGTTCTTTATTTATTTAACAAAACGAGCTTTAAAAGCCAAACATTAGGTCATGGAATATTTCCACCCCGAGAAATAAGTCAATTAGACATCAAACTCGGTTTAAGTATCCCCCGCCCCCCCCCCCTACAAAATATGAGCTGGTGAGGAACTTTTTCGAAGTCAAGTAGTGCTGTGGGATTGTTCTGTTTTTTGAATACAAACTTTCAGCGGCGTGGTGCACATGCGTTTCCAATTAGGAGCTCAGAGCCAACATGGGCCCCATTCACCCCTTCGACGATTGACCAAGTCTGAGGAAATGTTAAACAGGCACCGCAACCGATTTTTCAAAAGCCTTTACTTTCCAAACAATAATTAAAAACATCGCAGTGAAACTGATGACACGCACTGCAAACACAGCACACAATCTAAACACAAGGAAGCGGGAAACTTACTTGATCCCAACTTTCTTTGGCTCGCTCGCACTTAAAGACATTGCGATTTGTCCCTTCGGCGAATGGCTACAAAGCCTGCTTACAGTGCAGAGCAATAAAATATGTCAATGCGGTTGATTTGTGAGGACCATAATGAGAATGCACGGTTTACACGAGGCACTCGGAGCAGGATCTACTTCCCCTGGCAGCGGCAATAACTCGCTGTGAGCCTGTCTCTGCTCAGACTTCACTCTCCGGGCCCTGAGGAGCTGTTGGGAGGACTTTGATGTTCTGTCTAAATGAATTGACTGTGCTTCTCGATACAGCCCCTCCAGTCAAACGACTCGCCCCACAGATTCCGTCACCTGTGATGAACACCACCAAATTCTGGATCGCATGCTCGGAAATGCCCCAATTTCTTTTCTCCCCCCCCCCCCCCCCCTTCAACTTTGTAAATGTCTGAAATATATATAAATAAATATGATTGTTGTTTCCCTCCGTGCCCTATCGGAGGAGAAGCCCTTTGATGTGCGAGGCTGTATGTGAGCGAGCAACGCCGGGCTGGTTTCTGTTACCTTGCAGCGCTCCAACATCCAGTAGGTGAGCCTTTATGTCGGGTGCCCCTTCAGGGCATGATGCTTGTTAGAAACCTGGGCAAGGACAACAACCTCCAACACACTCACATCATTTGATTTGCTTTTTTTTTTTTTTTCTTTCCTTTTATAAAAATCAGAGCCAGGCAGCTCCGCTTTGGAAGCCTTTGACTTCACTGACTTGATCCAAACTAAATCTACAGCTCATTTTGGAGCACTGGTGCACAGATAAGCGTGTTCAAATGCGCTCATTCGTCTACCCCGGTGTGCGCTTTGAATGTGGATAAGTAGTGACAGGAACCGTAATGCATGAAAATGAAAGGGAGAGGAACGCATCAGCGCTGAAGACAGCAACCGATCGACGCCGTGCAGCGGATGATTTTGATCAAGGCGCGGGGCAGAGGCGGTGGTTAGAGGGAAACAATACTTATCCATCCAAGATTCAGCCCGGTCAATTCTCATTTGACTAAATCAAATTACCGATCGATTCCGCATCTCCTTAAAGCCGAGGTGCAGCTTTTCCTTGATAGTGCAAAAATCTCGGCTCGGCGGAGGCGGCGGTATTTAACCTATTACAGCCTCCGATGAAGCGGTTAGGGTTTTTGCAGGAAAAGTGCAGGTTCTACTGGCGAAGGCATTGATCCTCCCACACCCTGGGTTTTCCCAGCGCGCGCAGCAATTCCTGTGCAAAACCTCTGAACACTTCTCTCTCTCTCTCGCTCTCTCTCCTCCAGCGGCGGCGGCGCTGCTCCTGAGCAAACCTGCCCCGGATTGAGCATCTCATTTAGTCACCGGGGCCCTTTGATGTGGATTCAGTGCTGCAGTGCATATCATTCGTGTTTGAAGGTTCGGCTTCCACAATACAGTGGGGTTTGAAGTTTCACATATTGCAAGTGCTACAATGTGATAATCTGGGAGCCGGTTATGCATTATACATTTTTCATAAAAGAACACCATCGCCTGAAAGTGGAAATGTGGAAAAGTCGGCGCTTCAAGGTATATATTGACAGAAACTGTTTCTGAGACTTCTGGGTGTGGGACGAAAACACTGTTGTTATCGTGAGCATTTCAAAATCTGCTCTATATCTTCTCTCTAAAGGGGGTAAATATCCAAATAAACAGAGCAGAATACAATTTGGCTGGGCTTTGCCATGCCATTATGAGACCGATTTAGTCAACTGAACGCTTCGCACGGAGCACAGGGGGCCATGACGGCTCTTCCATGAACCTCCTTCTCCATCTGATTTCACGTAAGGGTTGATACGCACCTGGAGGTACTTCCTTCAGTGTCCTCTTCAAAAGAAACATGAAAAATCCTCGTCAAGCTCCATGTGTGCACTGAGGCAGACCGAACTAAATCTGCGGTTAGTCTAGTGACAAACGAAGAAACGATCTTTATGAAAATAGAAATTTTCAAAAGTAAGCCCATTGTTTTATTATATATACAGAACCAGTCAACAGTTAAATGAGAAAGTGTGTCCAAACCTTTGGCTGGTTCTGCATATTTTCATTGCCGCATGTTGCACACAAGATTAAAAGAAACCGGGGGAGTTGTTGTCCAAAGAATAAAATTAAAGATGTCTGTGAGTGAGTGTTATGTAAATGCTCCTGTTGATGATAATTAAAGAGTATTTGTGTGGCGGTGCACAGCTCCATCGTCTCTATCTAAAAGGATGCTTACTGTCTCCAATTGGTGGCAGCCTGAGGGCATGGCTGCTATCTGTTCCCTTTTTCTACACATATCTTGTGCGAAAATACACACAAAGAAAATAAAAACACACAAACGGGCACGCACAAGCACATGTGTACGACGAAGAACTCTACACACCAGGCTGACAAGTACAAACAAAAAGCCCACACAGAAGAAAAGAGACGGCGCTTTTACAAGCATCAGCCTCTCAATTAGCTTCTGCACTCATTCCTCCTCGGAAGAGAGAATAGTTTTTTTCAGCTCGGTGCTTTTTCTTTGTTTATTGTAAGCAGACCAAAGCCTTATCATCAGCTAATCACTGCGTGTCAAATTCACAGACTCACTGCAGTCACTTCAAAAAAACTAAAATAATTATGCGAGTAATCTTCTCAGGTTCAGATTGCCATTTTAGATTTAGACTGTCACCATTTTTTGTTTGTTTTTATTTTAGATGCTCAAATGTGTCAAACAGCCAGGGAGATGATCAGCATTTGTTTGATGTAATTCCTTGTGACACGTTAATTGCATCTACTTGTAATTCTCTCTAATTGATGTTTGATATGTCTGAGGAAATTAGGCCAACTGGATAAGACTGCAATTATTAGGAGTCCTCCTCGACTCTCTCTTCCCGGCTTCAGCAGGCCTGATGAATTCACAACACCTAAAACGGTAATGTGTCAACACGCTGTGCGTGCAGCTATGCTTTGAATTCCCAGGACGACAACCTCGGGTTGTGAGCATACAGGCGCACAACTTAAAAACACATTCATGCACGCTGCACGGAGCCAAAGATGACTAACCTGAGCAATTTTGACAGAGTTCTGGGTCGAACCACCGGCATGATATTCAACTTTGTTCCTCTTGACAATTTCTTCAAACCTGAAAGAAATAAGTAAAAGACTGGTTTACAAAAAAGAATCAACATTCAAGATTATCCACAAAAATGAATAATTCCAGACAGGATAAAGGCTTTGTGGAAACACCACAGCCAACCAGCTGTAACATTAGCACACGACAGGTTTATCAACACTTGTCACATCGCAACGTGTGTAGGAGGAGTGAGGAGAAATTGCATTTCATAAGCACGACAAATTACTCAAGACATGATCCATTATGAGAGGTTATCCAGGCACAGTTAAGGAGCAGCTGCGATAATAGATAATGAAATCTTGTACAGACATTTGTGGTCTCCGGAGAAAAGGTCTCTAATGACTCTCGAGGATCCACTTTTCCTTATCACCATCAACATGTCAGATATTCCAATGGGTCACCGCAGGATACAAAAACAAAAACTAACTCCAGTCCAAGGTTCAGTCCATGGTTCATTTAAATCAGTCAAAGGTGACGTGGCCAACGATTTCAACTGCTCTCTGTCCACTTTTTATGGACACCAGGGAAGGGCGGGACAGTATTGCTGCGGTCCATACGGTTTTGACAGGTTAATAAAAACGTATGTTTGTTGTTGTAACACTCACTCCAGCCACAGGGGGCTGAAGTGCACCACATTCCAAGTAAGGCTTGAGGCCTTCGTGTTTCTCTTCCATCCATTCTAAGCACAAAGTACACATAATGTGTCTCAGCAACTAGAATAATTTATTATGTAAATCAAAGCTCGCCAGGAACAAAACTACGAGCATTCGAGTTATTTGTTTTGAATGAGGGGTATTGCTTTACTTCAGCCTTTTGTGGCAGAAATGAGTAAATATTACGAGGTATTAAACAGTTGACTGAGTTGGTGCACGCTGGAAATACATAAAAACAATGATGAATGGGTCCAAACCGGCAGTAAGCCTTTAAATAGATGAACGCAAAAGCGGAGCAATGGCTAAGCATTGTCGTTAGCCAAAGTATTTCAGAGGGATGAATGAATTAAAAAGACTATTTCACTGTTTGTCTTTGCAGATATGTACCCCTTTTGTGTTTATAGGTGGTGTTTTAGCAGCAATTACAGTTTCCTTGTGTACAAAAACCCTCATAGGCGGATGTCTTGTTTAGAGACCACATCTGATTAAATGTTTGACGCATGAAACATACAGCAGAGTTTTGAGAATGTGCGTAACAGACTAAACACATTGAGTCAAGAAAATACACGACATTGGGGAATGGGGAGTAAACAATTGCAGAGTTTTCAAACATAAACCTCCGGAACTCTCTTGGGGTCTCCAGTGAAATACTGAACGCAGCTCTATCATTTCTTTTTGCATTTTCCCCATTATACTTTCATTTCAAAAACATCAACAGCTTCAATGCTAATGCGCAACGTGATGCAAAGCTGGGCTACGCGGCGAGATAAGAGTCTTTATCTGGGGAGCTGAGGGTATGAATAATGCACATGCTCGACGCTGTTCACACAGACAACCTCCCGGGGGGCTGGCTATATAAAATGTGTCCATCCTGCTAAGCAAGATGACATAACTGCAGTCAGGATGATCCGCACCACAAGGAGGTCCTTGGCTTTTTTTTGTAAATTGAAGACTGACAATTTGTCGGTGTAATTGCATCACGGAAACGACAGTAAATACTTCAGCGAGCGCCATACCGTTCCTTTGAGTGTTTCTCGTAAATGCACCAAATATTAACTTGGGAAAAGCATTTTTCTTTTTTCAGAGGAAATGCTTGAGTGTAATCCCATGGGGAAAGTCTATGCGACAAGAGTGTCAATTCATTCCCTGTTTAGGAATAAAAACATTCTCCGGGGAGGTAAACAATTGCACTTTTTGGGGTTGAACCTGGAAATATTGCATGCACTCGCTGCAGACGAGAGTAATACGTATGCAAAGTGCGTTGTGGCTTACCAACACATGTCAGCCAGAGGTGTTCAATACTTCAGCACAACCTGGTTTAACAAGGCATGGCCGAATTCTGAGCCAGTGTGAAAGTAGCCTTTACCGCTTCAAAGAAAGTCTGCATGTCATTTCTCAAGGCGAGGGGTCTACTCACGGCAGAATGTTCCTAATAATAAAAATAAAAAAAGCGGAAAAAAATATGCTAACCGGGGGGGGGGGAAAAAAATCCTTCCTGAGACACCTGTTATGACTCCTGACAAAGGAAGAATTTGAGCACTGTGGGTGTTTATAACACGAAGGCAGCCGAGGGACTCCAGAACCCATTTCAAATAGACACAGCTTCTGAGGATTTCAGCTTTTCTTTTCCTTCTTTTTTTCCCCCTCCTGAGAAGTATTTGCTCCACCTTTCAGTGCAGACAGCATGGGGCCCCTGCTCTCTCGGACGCCTCCAAAATCCCATCCGAAAAGGAGCAGCTGCCTCAAGCCCTTTACCCCCTAAAAACATCATGTGTTCCCTTGGTAGTGCCCCGGTAAACGCCCCCCCCCCCCCCCCCACCTCGGCCATTTAGGAGGAGAAAATCCCTTTCCATCTACTGCAGTCTGAGCTGCTTCGGTGCTGCTGGGAGGGAGCAGAGGAAAAAGAAATTGTTTTGAACAAAATGTCCCCAGCCAGTAACTGCTGTTGTTGTTCGATGGTGGAGAGATTCCAACCATGCCGTGCATTCCACCCGTGTACTTACGAGCCCCGCGTTGCATGACACGTGCTCGACAGGAGACGGCCCCCGACACTCTCGACTAAAAGGTGTGCTACTTTTCAATTTAATACCTTCCTGTTTGGGACCCATAGAAGGATTTACTTATTCTTCAATCAAACTAGGGGAACTATAGGCCTCTGAATGCAAGGTTTGTATTCAGAGGATATTAAGAGTCCTCCTGGAAAACTAATACCTCCCAGCTCAACACATTCATATTGTTGGGCCGGATCACCCAAGTCGTGATGTTTACATTCCTGGGCACGGAGCCCCCCCCCACCCCCCGAACGTTTTCCATCGAGGGAAACATGAGAGCTTCCACTGTGAGTGTTCTTTGCCCCGTGTGACTCCTGAGTTCCTCTCTCACCTCCCCAAAAGTAACCGATTATTTACATGCGGCAATAACTCAGAGATTTTCTCCTCCAAGTCCCTACATGGAGGGCAAGGCGAGCCCATTTACCCGATCCCTCCTCACTCGCCTTTGATGTTAGCCTACCGCGATAAGACCGGATGAGTGCTCCGAAATCCCCGTCGAGTGATTCCACAGGAAGAACAAGTCTCTGTTAATCAATGGCTAGATTGGATCTGGATCCTCAGGAGTGGCCCGCCCCGAAAGTACTCCCCAGTGTTTGGAGTGCACACCGGGGTAATTCATCGCTAATGATCGCCCCGGCACCCACTCGCCTGCGTTCCTCCTTATTTAATTGCCTCGTTCGCGTTTAAACAGCTTACAAATCACACGGACAGGGGGGTGGGGGGGACGTGATCAAACAGCCCCGGTCGTTCATCGCGAGGGGAAGGAGTGAGGGGACCGGGGCTTCTTCCCCCCCTCTGAGATTAGGGAAGGGCGGAGGTGGTGCGAGGAACAGTAAAAAGTCTCCGTCTCAGGTGCACCGGAACAGGCGGACCCATCCGTCTCTCTCTCTGTCGGCCTCTAAAAGGCTTTGCTAATCCCACTTTCAACACGGGCAGCTGGAGTGGAGACAGGTTCCGCCGCTGATTAGATTCCACAATCAGCGTGCGCGACCTACACCAGCAGCCTTCCTCGGTAGTCCGGAGGCGGCGCGAGGCCCGATGCACAGTAATTGTTTCCATAGGTCAGGCAGAGAAAAAAAAGCAGCTCGGGGGGGGGGATGTGATGAAAGGGAGATGGAAAGGGTGAGGAATATTGTTGTCTCCACCCCCCCACCAATTAAATTGTTTGTCAAACCCTTCGCAGAGGGTTACGCGGTTTATCTGTTTAGAATCAATGCGCTCGTCTCGGTGTGATAGCTTGTCCCGACACAAGACAGGCCCATTAATTATTCGGCTGTGCGCGCTACCTCAAGGTTGAGCCGTATCTTTTTTTATTCCAAATCAATAATTATCCGCTACCTCAGAAATAGATGTGCTTTTCACTCAATGCCCGTGTAGTGTGTGTCCCCCGTCACCGTCCCCCTCCTCTCTATCTCGCTATCTCTCTGTGTAGCAACTGGTGAAGAAGACAGAATGAACAGCACATTCGTATCGATGGAACATGAGGGCGGGAGGGGAATGGATGGCGAAGAATGAGACGCATAAAAGCTCTGAACGCCAATGAGTCATGAAACTCAAACAGCCAGCGAGGCCTCGTTCCCATCCTCTGGTACAGCGAAGGGACGGACGCTGATTGGCACATAAGCATGATGACATACTTCGGGTCTCTCCCAAAAACCCTGTTCGGCCGGGATAGAAACCGCCTCGTTTGGAGTAAAAAAAAAAAAGAGGAAAACGACTTCAGCCGCAACGAGCCTCGTCGCATTGCAGACTGGGTGCACAATTAATGACTGCACAATTACATGGTCATAATGAGTGAGTAATTGCATTACAATGCAGTAACAACAAATGTACATCCCTTTAATAATCAGCCGATCCAGCCGCCCATTTGTTAAGGACTGCCGTTTGTACTCAATTAGGCTGCACTCAAGGATTAGGCCTGGGGGGGCAGAATATGGTCACGGAGGATGAGTTCATATTATTTCCTCTTAAAATGTCACAGGTTTTGTCTGTGCGGATGTGGGAGAGGGGTGTAAGTGTGTGTGAGTGGACATGGAAGAGAGGGACACACTGAGGGGTGGTTGGGGGGCCGGGGGGGGGGGGCTTGTAAGCAAAAGACGGGGCTTCTGGTGTCCTCTTGAGGATGGAGATCCGAAGCCCCCGAGGCACAAAGCCGCGGAGACGTTCCCCTTATCCGCGAGGTTGATAGCGGGATCTTGGTGATTCAGAGCACTCCGTGTGAATAATTCCGCCGACACCCCCGACTGCGGGGACCATATGGCCCGGTGTGAACTTTAAACACGCGGGGAGCGTTGCCCGCTCACCAGCCAGGCCTTCAATCTCCACCACCACCCTTCTCCCCACCCCCCAACACGCAGGCTACGTGTGGAGAAACGATAGTCCACTAACTAGCCTACATGCTTACGGGCTGCTGCCGTCGTTGGCTTGTCCTGTGCGGCTGCTGGGGATCAAAGATGACTAAAAATAGCCTCGAGCATTCTTTTTCTGTACTGAACATGCAGTATGTGCTGGCTGTGACGCCCACATTTTAATTACAAAACGCTCTTTTAAAAAAAAAAAAAAAAAAGGAGGTGGGTGGGGAGAGGACAACATGCACAGAGATGTGGATTATGTTTGTTACACTCCCTTTGACTTGTGATCTTCCCTTCTGGCACCACCTGCTGGCAGTCCCCCTCCAACGAGGGGAAGAGGCAGCCTTTAATTATGATTGCATCAGCCAGCCACCTCTCGCCATGCAGCATGCGTGCTCTAACGGGGTGTATCATTTATTGGGTTCACTTGTTTTGCGAATTCATAAAGCTTCACATGCACAATTCTCATCCACAGTTGAGCACGGCTCGAGGGAGAGGGGGACGGGCGCGGGCCCCCAAATCGTGGGATTCACGCACATCAATAAAACATCAAGAGCCGCGCAGTCGGCGGCCGAACATGTTCCGGATGTCTCAATTACCAGTTTGAGTGCCACTAATCTCCGCTCGCTCTCTCTGGCTCAGAGGTCGGCTGATGGATGCAGGACCGCGACCTTTGGCCTCAGCAGCAGGAGGAGGGGGTGTGTGTTATGTCCTGCCCCCCCCCCTTCTCTGCGGGCCAGCAGAGGTGAGTTTAAGTACAGTAGTACGGCACTCAGCCTCAGCAACAGACAAGGGAGCTGGGAAGTGAAAAAGGTAGGGGGGGTGGGGGGGTTGTAATGTGTCTACGCATTCAGTCGAGCATGAGTGCATCCAGTGAAGTGGCACCATGGCAGGCACATGCAGCTTCTGCAAGCATGCTTGCATGTGAGAGCACACACACACACACACACACACACACACAAGGAGCAGTGTTTCTCCTCCTGACACACCAGAATAGCTCCACCGGGAGGGGGTGGGGGGGTGGGGGGTTCTAGCTCTCATTGCTTGCTTCGTTATATATTAAAAAAACAGAGACAGAAAATAGAAAAAAATAGGGGTAAAGTCAAGTGTGTTTACAGAGCAGAATCACAACCACACACACACACAAACACGCCCAGGAGTGTTTAACATGTACTCAGTGAGAAGGCCTTTGTTGTTTTCCTCGCAGTAAGCACATTGAGCTGCATGGCAGTAGCAAGGGGGGGAGGTGGGGGGAGTGTAAGATGTACACAGACAGCGGGGGTGTGCGAGTGGAGAGGCACCTCCACTGATCTCCTGTGTCGTGTGATGATGTGCGTGTGTGATGTGTGTCTCAATCCAGCACCGATCCCCCTGAGTCAGCCCCGTTGGCGATATGAGCCTCCCTCCCTTTCCTTCACCATCCGGAATGCTAATAGCAGCCAGCCACTAGCGCCGCGTCCCTGAATTATTCATTCAGCGGAGGGTCACACGGCATAATGAGGAGTTTACTCTCATTCTGGATGCGATTGTGACGCTGCTAATCTGCATTTAGCACAGAGAAAGAGAGAAAAGGAGGGGAGTGGGGGGCGCGGAGCGAAAAGCGACAGGAGGAGATGGAGGAGGAGTTGGGATGAGCACTGATGAACTTAATTGCTGTGAGCAAACAACCTCTGAAAGGAGTCACGCCATCATCCAGAGATGAGAAAGTAAACATTTAATTATCATTGGACGGAGGGAGTCATAAAACAAATGTTTGAACGCGACTAATATCCAAGAGCCGGCTCATCGGCTTTTTTTCCCCCCCCCCCCCACAATTTCAGAGGTGACAATACACTCAGCGTAACAATGAGTCCCTCATTTGACACACTAATAACCATTAGCTCTAATATGATATGGTTAACACGTCCAACAGGGTTTGGGGGAATGGAGTATTATGCAATGCTGCGTGTCACTAACAACCTGTTAGGACCAGTTACCCTGAACTAAAATGATCATATTCTAATCTCCTGCAGAAAGAGGCGTGTTTTCATTATGTTGTCACGCTTCCTGCAGAGACTACTTGGGCCACAAACAGCAGGCTGCTGTTGCCCCCTGTTGGACATTAAGGTACATGCCTATTTTACTGCAAGTAAGAGTGAGGAGGGGCACAATCTTATTTTAAAATATCAACTACAAACAGAATTCAAAGGGCTACAATTAAACACAAAACAGCAAGACCTTAGAGACAACACCAGTTGACATCACTTTACTTAGCCTACACCATTAGTTGTCTGATCATCTGACAGAGAGATTATAAATAGAAATCTTTAAAAGTTATAAAGTCCATGAGACCAACAGCCTACCTTTGCAGATGCCAAACTTACATTTAAAACCATGTGACGGCAGCAGCGATCGAAAAGAGTCGAGCAATACATCAACAGGCCTGTTGGACTAGGACCAGCTCCCCTAAACGGAATGCAGTCGGTTTTAACGTGGTCAATTACACCTCGCCATAAATGTGAGCCGTGAATGTCACCCCCTTAAATCAGAGAATGATGCATTCATTCAACATGTTCGTTTCCTCTCACGCCCCAAATTCAAAACACTGTCTACTGAAAACAACACTTTAGTTGTACGTCACCTTTTCCTTTGAGCCTTCATTACATAGGAGAAAGTATGGATACATGAGAAGAAAGAGGTACGAAAAATAATATCTATGCTTGATACATGTTTCAATATGTGGTCCTTTCTATTTTTCAATTGATCTACACAACTAATACTTCCAGAGGAAATCAACTCGTTGTGATCCATGATGAGATATTAAAAGGCCTCCCAAGTCAGAAAGAAAAATAACTGAAAAAACAGCACTAAGTCCCGAGCCAGTACTAACAGGGATGCTGATGGTTTCTACAGCAGGCAATTCCTCAGCCACAACAGGATTAGATGGGCTCTGCTGTGACTAGATAATTGAATCCAGGCATGGCCACAGTGCACTGCATCCAATGATCGCTCTCCCACCAGGGCGATGGGGAGAAAAAGTGAATCGCGTTACACTCTGCAGCTCCAGAAGCACAACAATAGCGTTAGTTGACTCGACTTGTGAGTCTATTGTGGCCTTTTAAAGTGATGAGGTTATTCGTCAGAAACAACGGAGTCAAGTCCTTCTTCTGCGGACCGGTGACCTTGTGAATGACCTCTTTGTGGTGGCAATCCAACGACCTCTAAAGCTGTCGTAGAGAACGTGACAAAAATAAATAAATCACAGGTACATTCAGCTATAGATTCACTGAAACGAGGGAAACGTGTGCTGGTGTGTGCAATTGGAGGAGACATGCATTGAAACGCATTGTGCTGGGAATAAACCACCCAAAGCCGCACGTTAATCCTGCCCTGACCTTGTGCAGAATGCGGAGGGAACGGTGTCTGTGGGGCTAAAGATAACGCCGCTGCCTTTGTGCCGGAGGAGAACAACACTGCTGATGATGCTGCTTTGCGCCGCCGCTGCCGCCCAAGGTCACATGTGTCCCTTTGTCAAGTAACAAGACCTGACAAGGTAGCCTATTGTTTAAAAAAAAAAAAAAAAAAAAAAAAAAAAAAAAAAAAAGGTACAGACGATCTGATGTGCTGATTTGTGACTCGGGTGCTTTTCTGATTTTAGAATCATTGCATCATTTGTTTCGGATTTCTTCTCAGGTACGAAGTTGCATGACTTGCTTTCTGTTAAAAAGGGAGCTCCCTGTTTAACAACCCGCTAAAAATGTCCATTTAAACAACAATGAATGTTTACAGCTGTTTCGTTCACATCTGTGGTCCAGTTCCTGTGATCACGCAACGGGGGAAGACCCATTTTTGACCACTTTTGAGTGATTAGTAGAGAGTACTCACGGGGGAAATGCTCAAATCTGCACCGCCAATCATTATGTCTCCAAACTTGATTTGGACGACGTCGTATTTTCCTACTGTGTGTACAGACAGACAGGTGATTGCATCCTCTTTGGGCCGCCATACAAGCCGAGGCATTCACATGTCATGCTGTCAGCCGGGCATTTGACAACTTTAGCCCATTTTGTTATAAAATCATGAACATATGATGCTTACAAATCTCAAACGAGCGGACGTGACGTGAGGTTACATTTTGACTGGAGAACAAATAATATGCACATGGAAAACAAAAAACAGAAATCTTCACCGGTGATGAACGGAGACAGGAGGGATGTCCCTTTAACCCCCAGACGAGCGCTATGAATATGGGTTTAGGAAGCTTAAGAAGAGCACTCGTCCCCTCTAGACTCATTACCCCCGCAGAGGTGCTCTCGAGCACAGTGCCAAAGTGGTCTCGTGGAGCTCCTCTGGGGCCAGCCGATAAGAGTTGGTTAGTTCAAACAGATAAGACTGAACGTTCTGGAGGTGTGAGTCACATGACTTGTGTGGTCGAGTCAAAAAAAGCTCATACCCCAGCACATACACATTTCTTATATATCCGGAATGTATAATAGTTGTTGGGAAAATGGAAAATTGTTCATTACTTAAAGACTTTTACAGAGAAGGAGCGTGCTTGCTCAGCAAAAACCTTTCCGGGTTAAATAATAATTCATTCCTTTGTCAATCGAATGGAAAGCAGTAAAATATGCAGTACACATACATATATCTACTACTTGGCCCAAAGCAGTAGTAAATTCCAAGGCATCTCTCTACAGTTGGCTCAGATTCAGCATGAGAAAAATCTGTGTGCGTGTTAAGTTACGAGCATCTCAGCTACAGAGGGTTGATTTATAACTTTGCTATTTTGAGCACGGCTCGGTGACAAGATGGTTGTAGTGGGTATGAATGACCAGTGCACCCCATATTTGGTGACATGCCAATTTAACACGGCCGTCCCGGGGAAGCTTTGACTCACAAGGCTTTATGTTTGTCTTCTGCGAGGATCTGGTCATTGAGCTTCAGCCCGAACCTTTAGTAAAAGAACACGAGAGAAGAAGCATAAAAGGTCAGTGTGCTTTGCAGAAATATGAAGATGGCAGCGGAAAAAAACAAGAAAAACAGCGGTTTAGACTCACTTGTCGAGGAAATCTTTGTCGACCACAGCCGAAATGTCAAGCAAGGGATTTCCCATCCCAAAGAGTGTGTTTTCACTGGATTGGGGGGGGGGGGGGACAAAAACGTATTGTATTATGCACACACCCGCTCGCCAGCTCTGCCCGAACAGGACACAAACCATCTGTGGTAAAAGCTTCTCATTAAGTCAGCTCACATTCTCTGTACTGTACCGTCCTCCCCTGAGTAATGGACATGTGTAGCATGTAGCATTCATTTAGAATAGATGATTAGACTATGTGTGAATTGTTCATAGTACCTCTGTGACCCCTTTTATCTGGATTTTTTTAGCCACAAGATATCACAGTGGTCAAAGTCTACAGAGTTTTCATGACAAGTTACTTAACTTTCAAAAGACACAAGACAAAAACATATTGATTATCTAGTTAAGATCACATGAAGATATAATTGTCCTGTGGTGCAACATTTGGGTTTTTACGTGATCTGGAAGATCAGGACTCACTGAAGCCTCAATCATTATATCAACTTAAACGCCTGACAGATGTGGGTTTTCAACCAACCTATTGAATGACTTGCAGTGCTGTGAGCACATTTTAAAAAAAAAATAAGTCGAGAAAAAATAGTTTGCTGTGGACACGCCAGAGGATATCATCATTTGGACCTAAAATAATAATTTAAGGAAGACTGGTTAGCTGTGGACACAGCAGATGATATTTTCATTTCAATCTTACCTTGGAGTTGGCATTATATCAGAAAAGCCAGCAGCCTGACCTGAGGATTAACTGGTCTACAGATTCGTCCTCTTACCAAAAGCAATGTGCTCTTTCACTACAGGAACTGCAGCTGCACTTTAATCAACGGTGACTGGTTGGTGAAGTTCAAGGGCGGGACATAGTGTCTTCCAGGCATACGATTGGCTAAACGTGTTCCAATTGTTGGAGAGCTTTCTAAGCTGCTTTAGTGCCAACCGGAAAGAAGGTGGATAAAAGTTTTTTTAAAAAGAAAGAAAGACATTTAAACACATTAATAATTTGTAATATTGTAATGATACATTTGTTTATTCTTATGTAATTGAAAAACTGTTTGAGTTACATATAGGAAAAGAAAAGTTTTAGAGGTGTGTACCAACATTATATGAGCTAGCCTTTAACAGCAGCGGAAGACATTAGTAGTTTTTATATTGTTACTGTTCTATATCTTGCAAACAAACGCCTACACATGTAGACTCTTCTGTATCTGAAACGTGGATTAAATTAAATCTAAATTGCCATGTTAATTATTTGCAATCAGATGGCTGTGTGTTTTGTTGTTTTTGGTGGGGTGGCAGTTTTGTAAAAATTGTACAATATATATAAATATTCTAACAATTTTCTTTATGTTCGCTTTGGAGGGATTTATAAATGACAGTATATAGTTCTGTGACTTGATGCTAGTGTGATATAATAGGACAAATAAAATGGTATTAGACTACATTGTGTTACGCTTCCTTTTTTGTTGTAAGGGACTAAATGTCCCTCCTCACGTGACCTCACATGAGATCACCTTAACTTAAGTAAACCAAGCTGATGACCGCCATTGTTTTTGCTTACTATCCTGTGTCAATGTTCAAAGGGCAAATAAGCACCGTTTTCAGTGTATGTTCCACTTTCAATGTGGCGTCCGATTTGTTATTTTTTTGTATGTTTTTATCTGAACCATGAAGCAGTGGAAGTTGGTTGCGGTTAAAGTGCAATACAAACGATAACGCTGGAGACCAATTAAAATGCGCAGAAAATATCTTAAATCAACTATCTAGGATACACTGTCAACCGGTATTTCTCACACTGTGCAATTTATCTCACACTGGGCTATTTTATTAAATTTTCATACACGTTTGGTCAATTGCATTCACGGAGTTTCATCTTTCGGACATTTACATACGCAATTTAAAAGTCAGCCTACATCGCAGACGTCTTAACTTCTTGGAAGTTTTTTTCACACCAGTCAAATCCTTTAATCACTTTAGCAAATAACCCTCCTCCCCCCAACAAAACTCGTTTTCACAAATGAAATGACGATTTTTCTGCAACAAGCTGCCATATCATTCAAAATATGACAATTCCCGTCTCCCGGTCATGTGATGAACGAACCCACCCTACTAGCTAATTCAAGCTAATGCTAGCTAATACAAGCTAATGCTGGCTAACACAAGCTAATGCTAGCTAATGCTACAACGGAGCATTGGTTGTGAACCGCTTAATGCTAACGGCCGAAAACTTCAAAGGTTCAACCCGCTTAGCGCCTCGTCACCCCCCGCCGACAGTTCACCACAACAACCACTGACGTTAGCATTAATTAGCAGCTAGCCGCAACAGCTAACTGTGCGTGGCACGTAGGATGGAATAGCGACAAATGCCATCGGGTTGTTACCTTAGCGCCGTTTTCCTCGCCGTCGACATGTTTGTGTCTCTGTCAGAAATGTGTATATGTGTATTGTTTTAATCAGCAACTGCTGTGTTGACGCAGCGGAGCCCCGGGATGCCGCTGCTCACTGGCGGGGAAAGAGTCGAGTGGGAACGGGCTGCAGCTTCCTTCCCCACTGGTGATAATGAAGTTTGGCATGCAACCTGGGGATGGGAAATGAGTGGTTATGATCAGGGAAAGGTTAGAATTAGCTCGCTGACTCTGCTGGTCAGAGAAAATGTGCTTTTGACTCGCGTGAAGAAAGTGACGTAATATTAGTTATATGGCGTCCAATATCATACAGGGAACAAAACATGGTCCAAACCAGTGTGGTATGTTCAAGCTACATGTGCAGTATTGATAAGCTAAAATAGATTACAATAGAGTAAAAATACAGACCTAAGTTTAGTCTCTAGCAGACCCGCAATGTCTCGGAGTGGCCCATTCTCATTACTTGCGGACTGATTAGGTCCATTTCATAGATTGCATATTGGTTTTATAATAAACACCTATAAAACACATATACTCACAACCCCTATTAACAGCATAAACCCACGTCTGTATGTTATTATTCCAATTCAGGTTGCAGATTAGCATGTATTTGCACGTTCAACAAGATCAGTGAAATGTCTCGGTTTCACAGTGGTAAGATTAAAGTTATCCCAGCCAAGGACTTGGTTGCATTAATATCCCCCCCCCCGGTTTGTTGACTTACTGCTGCTCTTGTCTTGTTGTTTTTTACCATGTATCTTGTACCATGCATCTTGTCAACTTTGCTGCCGCGATCCTGTGAATTTCCCCATTGGGGGGGACTAATAAAGGAATACCTTGATTCTATATTGTCAGTGTTAAATATCGAAGAAAGGGCAAGAATTCATTTATTCATGTTTGGGAGATTCATGAATGTAGACATTTCACATAACGGCTAGATACCCTTTACAAGATTATGAAAGAGGCAAATGGGGCAAGAAAAGTCCTTTTCTATAAAAAAAAAAAAAGCTTCCTCTTCCTTACATCACAGGTCCTGGTATACATACATGACAAAAACATGAATTAGAGAGCAAACACACCTCAAAGTGCTATAAAATGCTTTATTACAAAATTCCTCAGCAAAATATTCTTTAGGCCCTTTTAAACCCAACCAAGTTGCATCATTTTGATATATTTTTCAAAACAAGCTTCCCCGTGTTTGCATATAGCATCATTTGACTTGACGTACAAGTCCTGAATCAAGTGTAATTCTATAGAATAATGTAGTGCTTTGAAGAAATCTACAGTCATACATTGTAGAAATGATACCCCTGTGAATGAGGACGTATCAGCTGCAAATACAGTTTATTTTGCAAGGCACATAAGTTGGTATTAGATACTTATAAAAGACACATTCACGCCAACGGTCTTTTGAGACATTTGAAAATATCTTCTACAAGTGCCACAGACAGTGGCCAGTTATGTTTAGTATGCTAGGACGAATGAAGATTTACCAGCGGAGGGTGACACTGTGCTTCATATCCACACTCTGTTATTCCCTCGGCTACCTAGGAGAAGTGTGCAATTCATACATCACAAACAAATGATTGTGCACAACAAGACAACAATGAGACGTACAACTGCGTGCAGTGTTAAGAAAAACAGCAGACAAGACGAAGCCTCTCTATAGAAGACAACGCTTTGTTAGCTTAAGCTTGGGCTTGTGAAAATGGGAGTTATTACTTTGGCTAATAGGCCTCATAGCGTAGCGCAAGCCTGTTTCTCACACGGCATCCCGATGCAAGACGCAAAGCATTAAATAAGCACTTTTTTAAAACCACGGAGTCATTCTTTTGAGAAACAAAACACAGACAACTACACTTTCAAAGGTTATGGCAGAATGTCTTTGGCAGAATTTTTAAGAAAATAAAGAAGGCAACAATTGCATTACATTATGTAAAATAATTAACAGTGTTTTTCTTTCACTTGTGATCATAAAGAATAGTGTAAACATGGCGTAATACCACTATATTACACCATATATTTTGCGTTTGCCAAGCGTCTGCCTAGACTGTACTTGTAACAACTCCTCAAGTTTGTGTGCTTATCCTAGCGAAGACGAATGCAAGATCATAATACAATTATCAGTACAAAGATATAAAAGTGTCTTGACCAAATCTAGCTATTTCAATTTAAATTACGGTTTGTGTCTAAAAGAGGCCAAAATCAACCTTGCATAATATGTAATCTAACCTCTATTTAAAACATACAATGGATGTGGCTGTGATTTGTCAAAATAAGATTTAAAACAATTTTCTTACACACTTTAGAAAAAAAAAAGACATCCCCCAGTAAGAATCTAACCTATAACTAACACTGATCGTCCCAATGTTTACATTCTACCAGAGCAGCGACCGTTACAGACAGGACATGGGACTAACAGAGAAGCTTCACCCATATTAGTGTGACGGGCTGCGATGTCATGGCTCTGATATAAGTATCTATCTGTCCATTCAATGTCCTCCTGGACACCTGGAGAGAACCAGCATCAAGCACAGAAACAGTGGCCCTTCTCTTACTGGTACCAGGGGGTCTTTCGGATCCAGTGCAGGGTGAAACCAGCATCCGTGCGGATCTTGATGGAAGCCGCCTCAGCCTCCCTGACCGTCTCCTTCACGGACTGCATCAGGTTCTGAGCATTGTGGACCAACATCTCGGTGGCCTGTCGGAGAACAAATTGAAATACGATGAGGTTGTGCGAATACTACGGAGGTCTTGTGATCAGACTCGAGAGAGACGCCGCTCACCTGCTCAGACTCCTCTTCACTGATGTTGGTACGACCCAACATGGTGGCCTTGACTGTGGACAGGATTTTGAGCTGAGTGCTGATGGTGGGAATGCGCTCGCACACCTGAAACAAGGTCAGAAAGTCAGGACGGGTCAAAAAGATGAAAAGGACATTGTTGTCCTCCTCAGCGGACAAAGGGAACGGAACAGACCTGGAGCAGGTTGGTCCGGATTCGCTTGTCAGTGCACTGCTTGGCCACCTCCTTGGCCAGCCGCGTGACTTCATCGGAAGCCTTGGCGATGTCCTTGGCGCATTGGATGAGGGCACGCTTGTTTCCACCGCCTCCACGCACCAGACGAGACATCTCCGCCATGAGCAAGGCCATTCGTTTGGCGGCACCAATGATGTCATTGCCCTGAGAGGTACGAAGAGAACAGAAGCAACATGAAGGTGCAGCATTCCAAAGTAAAAAGTCCAGCAATCCTTCCGCAGAGTTCACTTACTTTACTGGACCATTTGCGGGCTTCATCGTGGAGCTGCCTGGCAGCTACCATCATGGGCTCGTTAACCATATCACCAGTCTGCTCAGGGAACTCCTCATCTTTCTCCTCTGGGGGAGGAGGCCTGGGGGGAGGAACCTCACCCTCAGGAAGAGGAGGTTTGGGTGGTGCCGCCTCATCGTTAAGCTACAAGGACAAGTAAAAGTAATCATGATTCAGCAGTTTAGAAAAACATATTGATTCCGCTCAGCTTGAGATGGTTTTGCCAAATTAAACTTGCTCCAACTGTGCTTCTTCAAGGTCTTACACTAAGCTGCTCCAGCTCAGGAGGAGGTGGTGGGAAGTCTGGCTCCTGGGGCTGGAATGCCTCTCTGACCTTTGCCACAGCACCAAGGATCCTATAACCCGAGTCCAGAAAGCCTTTCTGTAGACCTGGCAAACGGCAAACAAGCAAGTTAATCGCTAATCAGAAGGTTCCACGTACTCGGAAAACATCATCCTGAAACCAGTGACCAACATCAACTTACTCGGATCGTGGATATTTCCAGCCACGGCTTTAGCGTCCATCACCATAGGAGAGATCGTCTGGCTCAGTCCATCAGACGCGGCCTTCACCATCTCCCTGAATTTAGGATCCTCAGAGTTCTCCACCTCTCGCTTCGCCACCAGGAGGATACGATTGGCTCTGCGGGCGATGCTGGTAGCGCCGGCGACCAGCATCTGAGGCTGGTGGTTAGCCATGGCCAAGCGGCACTTTTCCAAGTCATTCTTGATGGCGTCTTCTGAGGCATCCAGCAAGGATTTGGTATCGATGGCCTCGTCCACCAAACCTGAACCGCCGCAACATGTTAGCATAGGGATTCACTCAATGAGAAAACAGTCAAAACCAGGAAATTCACAGCATCTGCAGGGCCCATCACCTGTCATTTTCTCCACATTGTCAATCCACTGATTCTTCATGGTTTCAAAATGTTCGTAAGCAGCTTGGTTGCCGGGGTTTCTCAGCAGAATGCGAGCAGCAGATACCACCTACGAAATACCATTATTGTGAGTCCAACGACAACCGCTGTAGACGTGGCTCGTGCAGCGAGAATGGCTTTTGCTTTGCGATGGAAACACTAAACTGTTCCATACTTGCGGTGTTAAGTCCCTTGTTGACTTGACAGCTGCCTGGATTCCCTCCACCGTGCTTTTGTTGGCGGTACCGACAGCAGCGGCCTTCTCTGCTGTGGTGCCGAGCCTATTGGCGTGGTTCTGAAAGTTGGCGGCCCTTTCGTCAAAGACCTACACATGATAAAAAAAAAACAAATAAATGACCCAAAAAGGGGGTTGTTGGAAATAATACACCGGGCAAGTAAATATAACACGACTGCGGAAGGCCCATTGCAATGAGATCACGGCGAGGAGCAGTGGGGCCGCTGACCTCATCTCTGTTGGGGGCGTCCAGAGGGGCGGTGGCAGCCACTGCCAGTAACTTGATGGGGGTGGTGGTGTCGCTGAAGATGTCGGACACCTCTTGAGTCATCGCCTCTTGCATCTTACCCTTTAGGTCCTAGAAGGAAGACAAACGGATATTACGACAGTCGTTAGATGCACATTCCACAATTGTATGTGTATAGAAAAGCATAGGATTGAAGTTAACTTCAGCCAACATAAACTGGTAGCCTCTACAGCATGCTTTCTTTTAGGTATTATTATTAGATATTTTAAGAGTTTTAGAGAAGTTTTTCAGTCTGGCTTGTAATGTTTACCTCTTAGTGGAGTAATTTGCTACCGGTACTTTCCTCCACCACTTGTGACCAGCAGAGAGAGCCATTTCTCCGCCTTCGTGCATGAATCCTGATCTATTGCTTTCAAGCTACAGTTTGGAATGAGAACGACTGTTGAGTAGGCGCAGTCTTACTTTTAAAGCTTCCTCGAGGTGCTGAGCAACAGCTCGTGCCTGAGGTGAATCCCCTTCGCCGCGGGCCGCCAGGTCGGCCAGCTGGGCCATAAGCTGCTCCACTTGCTCACACTTACCGAGCAGCTCCTGCCTGTATGGCCCGAGCAGAGCGTTGGCCAGCCTGCGGCCCTCAGCCACCAGCCCGCGGATGGCAGCCTGGCCTGAATGTACAAGCACAAGCATATTAACATAGAGATTGACAATGAAGAACATTTTCCTTGTGCTGCTGATTAACATTCTGTTGTTATATCTGCACCAACAAAGGGCATCAAACACAATAAATGAGAGGCAAATCCTCATAATAATACGAATAATAATAATAATAAGAACGTTTTTGATTGTTAAATGATAAATGAAACACCAAAATTATGAACCATTTCAGCGCCAATTAACTTTCGGTTGAGCTCCCCATTGCATACTTTGTAGTTGTGTTATTTTACTGCCTGTATTAATAGTCAAGCCAAAGCTGCTGCTTTGATGTAAGCGTTGCCTCCTTTGTACAAAGAGAGCCTCCAGCCAGCTTCATTATAAACATAAAAGACATTGCCTTCGAGGAGACGAGCCAAAAGGGAAAACATAACGACAATGTCATACCAAAAGGGGCATTGGAAGGAATGTGAGGGAGAGATAGAGATGGGGAAGTCGGGAAGGATGGTCGGCGGACTCACCCACACCGCTGTCATCCACGGTGGGATTGTCGATCCAGCGCTGTGCTTGCTCAATCTTTCCTTCCAAGTGAACAGCTGCCTTTGCAGGCCTGCTGTTGGCCACAGCTTTGCTGGTCTTGGACTGCAAGTTCTGCAGAGCTGTTGCGATCTGTTTAGCCAAAGCTCTGGCTTCAGGAGTGTCACCTTTACCCCTATGAGGAATTTAAACACAGCAGGAAGGTTCTTAGGTGGTGCTTTATCATAAAGATAAGGGTGAGATGAGGCCCGTAAATGGCCATTTTGGGTTAGAGAGCAAATAGATAATCACAATAAATTAAATGGAAAATAAATGCATATATGCTCACTGTCTTCTGAGATCAGACAGTTTAGCAGTCATGGCAGCAATGTCTCCAATAGAGCGCAAGATGTCGTCTCGTTCTTTTGGGTCCTCAGACATGTCCGCGATCCTTTTGGCCTCGGTAAGCAGGCCCCTGATGTTCTCTTCTCCCTCCGGTCCGCCATTAGGGTCCGCCAGCCAGTTCTGCAGGGGAGCAGGAGACACCATCAGAGACTTCTGAGGTCTGAACCAGTGTTTTGTGAGGCAAACCAGGTGAATGACTCACCTGTGCAGCATCGATCCTTTTGGCGATCGCCTGCTTGGAGTTAGTCATGGCCTCCAGCTTGCGGGCGGCGTTTTCCACCTTGCCGGTTAGCACGTCGAGCCCCTGAGAAACCTGCTGCGCCTTCTGCATGGCGGCCGCGGACGCCCCGTGACCTCTGGGGTGGACAAAGAGAAACACATGAATGTTACGAGCTGCAGCACGCCACCGTGCCTTCAAAGGCCACACGTGTACACTTGTTAGTTTCACCAAAATCTTAAGCTTTATGGTCACCCGGTTTAGGAACAGTGTTTTCTGACTTAATGCTTCTATTACCAGACAAGGTTCATCGGCACCTCACAGTTTCCAGCAGAGTAACTCAGCCGGGGGTTGAAGTAGATTATGGATTAATATCAGACAGCTGTTTTTAATCAAGTGTGACTGTGGGTCCCTGGCGACAATCGGATTTCATCACTTACTCTCTTACACACACTATAATCCCCTCTCACGCTTCCTGCCTTACACCCTGTACCCTGGAGGCTAGGAAATTAAGACTATTGTGTAAAATGAGCATTTATCAACAAAAAACGTAAGATTAAACAGAATCATACGGAGAACGAAAGAGACTAACTGAGGGGAAATATCTTGCCATAGTTGGGCTTAATGGTGTGTGGGTTACCTTGCCCTCATCTCAGACACCTGGTCCGTCATCTGGCCCAGGGTCTTGGCTGTGCCCACAATATCTCTGCGCTCTTTGCCAGCACACAGTTCTCCAACCTTCCCGGCTTCATCGAGGATCTGGCGGATGGCCTGCTCGCCTGCATCCCCTGCAAACACAACAAAGTCAGACACGCCACCAACGTCACCAGACACCCCTTGGTTATCGGCCGTAGCACAAGTTAAGGGGAGGGGGGAACAGTTTCAGGAATGGGGTCCGGGTGATTGTTACCAGATTGAGCGCTTGGATCCCTCAGCCAGTTCTTCGCCTGAGCCATCTTTGAGTCGATGAGCCCCAGAGCCCTCTTCATGGCCTCGGTGTCCTTTGGGTGTCAATACAACACAGAATACATGAATACCTTAAAAGGGGAATCAATGGAACCAAATACAACAGAAAAAGAAAGAGGAAACACTACGTTCCGTGAGAATGAGGTGAACATGTGTTGAGAAATAAGATCATGACTAAAGCTGAGCTTAGAGGGTATTTCTACTCATTCTGTTTTCAACATTATGGTTTTAAAAAAAAAAAAGTCCAGGCTATCGTCACAGTAAACCGGACGGTTTGGTCATTTGAGTAAAAGAAACTTGTCCATGTGCAGCATCCTTAACATCCATAAAGGCACGATCACGCAGTACATGCCGGTTCCATATTTCCGTCACACAGTCAATAACCAGCGTGTCATGTTATAAAAGCCAAACAACTTTCCATTGTATCTCAATCAGAGAGGATGGAAATACAACAATGCGTCCAGGAGCGGCTGACTCAACGATACGTTAACCTCATCCCCAAAGTCAGCACATTACAAAGCGCAGGCCTGTAGGACACGCGGCAGAGGATGAATGAGTGAGCTCATTTTCCATGGCACAAAAACAGAAGACCAGAAAACACACGTCACTATCCATCATAGTGCAGCGTGCATCTTCAACACAGAGTTCAGCTACAGTTAAGCAGATTAAGAACAGAACCTCTCCTGCGGGCTTTGAGAATGTTCATCACAAAATATGCCGTGAGCCCTCATGACGAGGTCTTTGCCAAAAAGAAAAGAAAACTAAGGGCAGCTTTGTTTGAATACCTGATAGTATCAGACCAAAGGAGGGAGAAAACAGGAAGTGGAAAAGGTGTGAAGTGATGTCAGCAGGGCTGCGACGGGGGTGTAATATTTAACTGTTCAAACGAGAGCAGCTGCTCTTCCTTGTATAACCTCGTGTGTGCGTGACTGAAAAAGTGAAGTGGAAGACTGATAATTGCAGGATCTTTTCCTTCCTGAATGCAAGCATTCATTACAGGCTTTGATTCAATAGAGTGGAACTCAAGGTGTGGTTCAATGCATTAGTAATCCTGGTTATGTAAAGAGAGAGGGGGTGGGCATGAAAATAGGGTCTATGAGCAAACTAGGCCACATCTCTTGGATTAAAACAAAATCAGTTGTTTAACGTGCTCTCCTCTTAACTAGTTAAACACCAGTACGGATCAAAGAAATTGCTGAGAGAGTTCTCATTAATGAAATCCGATTCAATACAGCATGATGAAAGGTCAATCAATAGTCGGACGGGTTGAGGACATGCATTCAGTGACGTGTAATTGGCATAAGAGGAGGACACGCAGATGTTGACACAAATATGTAATGAAGCAAAAACAAATCCAAAACCAGAGGAGGGAAATGACTACATAGATCAAAGATTTCTGCTGTTCAACCTGCTTTGCACTTAAAACACACACATTCCGTTTGCAGTTCATTGACTTCAAACTGCTAGTTCACTCCATCAATATATATATGAGCACACAATGGCACCACAAAGCACAAGACCGCACACACATCTGGCTGACATGCTGCTGCACAACCATGGGGCAAGAGAGGGAAGGCTTACCTTCTACAGGGGGTGAAGGGCGAAAGAAACAGTACAAAGAAAGGAAGAACCACATAAATACAAATGTTGAACTGGACATAGCAGCTGAGAGCAACCAAAAAAGAAAAAAAAAGAAAAAGAGTCAACAGGGGGAAAAGTGGCACAGCGAAGAGCCACGTTGGCAAATGATGGGACACGAAAGAAGCAAAGCATGCAGAGCAGAAAACCTCCCACAAAAGAGCCTTAAAGATTAACCATCTACATAAAGAAAGTTAAAGCAGTACTACTTTAATGAACCAAGCTTGAAATAAGTCGGAGGCCTCCTGTCAAAGGCATCCTGGCAGTGTGTGATTGTGCAGGGGGAAGGAGACAGTTTACGCTGATACAAACTGCATCCACAAATAATGCAGAAAAACAAAGTGAAACCATCAGATCAGCTCTACGGGCAAAGCAGTCTCTCCTTCCTCACATGTAATTATAAACACCAGTGTGCACACATGGGACCTTAATGGCCATAGACAAACCAAAAAAGGCAAAAGAAAGCTCTTTTTTTCCACGTACCTTGTTGGCCCAGGCGTCCTCGTCCCAGGACGTCAGCTGCAGGACTCTGATGATCTCGTTTATCTCGGCGCTCATCTTCTCAAAGGTGAAGTTGCGGTTCTTCAAGGACTCCTCCACCCCCTGGCTGCCAGATGTCTTGGTGGTCACAAAGATCTTGATACCTGAACGAAACGAACGAAACCCAACATTTAAAAAAAAAAAAAAAAACGGATGAGAGCGAGTAGTTCACCTGATGAATACCGCACTGGAATACGCGGTGTGGGTGGCGTGTGGATACCTGAGATGAGGATGGGCAGCAGCTCTTTGACGGTGTTCATGGAGTTGACCAACATCACGCGGTGCTCCTGGTGTGTGAGCTCCTGCTGTCGCTCATCTATCATCTTTGCCATCTTCGTCATGCCTGGAAGGAGTGCACTTACTTAGGTCGCATACAGAAAAGAATTCATTTTACATTCAAAGGCCTCTATTGGGGTATTCGAATGAGGCGTCTGCCAGTTGGGGTTACTTGTTGGAAAAGTTCTACTTCCAGCACCGGAACACAGAAGACTGCCAACAAAGCAAACACTGAAATGTTCCCTCCAGCAAATACACGCTCAGAATCCGTCAGCGATATCTCTGAGGTCGGGACTGACCTGGTCCCAGGTTCTTGGTGTACGTGATCAAGTCCTCCATGGATTCCACCACCTCTGCCACAGTCAGGTACTCCAGGATGCCTTTGCACACGCGGATTATTTTGCGCACCTACAAAAACGACAAGATGAGACAAAAAAAAGAAAACGTTGCATGCACAAATTAAAGTGATTACGCGAAGCATGCCGCCTGCTGACATTCCGGCCTCTTTGCCCTGCTTCAGTCCAGCTTTACGTGGACCGCTGAAGTAGCAGCTATACAGAGCCGACCCTGAGCTGCATGGGAAAACATGACGGCAGGGGTGAGTGATGACTCCGTCCTGCTGACAGCGCTGGGACGCCCGACGTCAGCTCCCAGAGAGCTGATATGCCACTTTTTTTATTTTACACTCCTTCCCTCCTTCCCTGGGAGGATAAGAGGGATGGGCCTGTGAGATTAAACCCCTGGTTGAAGATATAGGAAGCGTGCAAGAAATACAGAGCCTCATAGACCTGTGCGGTATATTTATCTCCCTCTCTGTCTTCTTCATAAGCATTACAGCGCTGGAGGGGTATGCAGGAATAGATACTGTCCTTACAGCAGGCCTCTGCCCCACTCAAGTGTCCATTAAAAAGACACTAAAGGCCTTTCAGCTCAGCAAAAATCAATGGTACAGCTTTTAACACGGCCACAAGCTACAATAGACCATCTACTGTTCATTTCTGAACTTAATCTGCCAGATAGAGTATTTTACCAACTGACCAATTTGACTAACTTTTTTTTTTCAAGTTCCATGTCATTATTTCAGGATTAAGTACAGGGGAAATGAGGCAAGTCAAAGAGGCAGGAAAACCAATTTCTCCTCTGTCAGATGCCTCGATGAACCAGAATTAAATTCACAGACGTCTCCGAAGCTGCTAAAGCCTAAAAAACACATCCTACTAAAACGCAGGAAATCTCAACATGGATGAGGTGTGGTGGAATACACGAAACCGCTAAAACAGATTATATCTGGATTCAGCTAAAAAAAAATGTGGTGAACCGGTTTGTTAAAATAAACCTAGGATTGATTGAATGAATGAATGAATGAATACCTCGGCCTCGTCAAAGGTCAGGAGCAGGTCAGAGGTCCCAGAGAGGATCCCCCGAGAGCCGTCGATGAGGTAATCCCGAGCAGGGACAGAGTATGGATCGGCTTTCAGCATGGAGGCCGCTTGCACCAGCTTAGTGCACGCGTTCTCCACTCTGTGGAAAGAACAAGGCGCTGGACTTTAAATACCTGCTTTAAAATAAAACAAAAAGACATGCTGATGATATGAAGCCCTTCAGAAGCCAGATCACTAACAATTATGTGTATATATTTATATAAATATAACACTGAGGACCATGTACATTTTATTACTGGAAATTCATTTAGGGAAACTAAAAATGTAGAGATTTTTTAAAGCATACAAAAGGTTGAGGAACTAAGGAAAGGTTGTGTGGATTGCAAGACACTTTGACAAAGACCTGTGATTCATGTTTGTGGTCTATATAAACACGACTGACTCAATTTGACTTCTGCAGGATGAGTCTTGTGACAGAAAGGTTAAGCTTGTTCTCACAGGGTGTGATTTGTACCTCAGGAGGCGGAGCGCAAGCTGACTTCTTCACAATTGAAACCGTTTTGTGGGTGAAAATGATTGATTGTTGCCTCCTGGGTGTGATGCACACTGTGAACTCCGGAGCAAGAAAAAAAAAAAACCAAAAACTGCTCAGCCCTTTGATTCAGCGTCATACACACCTGCTGCATTGTATCATGTCAGTCATTTTGCAAATAAAAAACAGTCGAGCAGGCAGGGGCCGATGCATCTTCTAGTTTCACCATCATACTGCGCTTACTCCCCACTGTTTAAATCAATGTGACAAATTTTGCAGCGTCAGCAAGGGATTATTTTTGCTATTTTCCACATTTTGGGGGCATCTAGAGGAGCTCAGTTTCCAACATTCTGCTGCCGGATAAAGACTAATGCATGTGCATAACATCAAGAGTGAGTGAGTGTGAGTGTGTGGGTGTGTGGACGGCCAACCACAGTGTCCTTCAGTTTCCACTAGTGAGAAACAGCCAGGCGCTACCCGGACCCCGGCAGACACTATATTTAGTGAAGGAGGTGCATTCCAGCACATGTGCTGATGGATGACGACAGGGTGACGATCTGACTTTGAGGCGCCAAACGCGTTGAGCCGGACGACCTGCGACTACCAATGTGCTTCATCCCTGACCTTTTTTGGGGGGGGGTCCGAGGTAGCAGGAGCAGTGGCTCTTAATTACGGGAGCCTGGAGGGGTTTGGGGCCCTTCTCCTTTAGGGTGAAGGAACTCCTCCCTCGGCAGAGAACTATTTCTGTTACAGCGGGGCACAATTCTGAGGACACTTAACATGCCGTGTCTGACCTTTGCTCAGACAAAGAGAGATAAAGAGAGAAACGCAGCCAGAGAGAAGCCAGTGGGTTCCACACCTCGTAGAGAAAACAACTATTTAATTTAAATCAAATAGTTGTAGCTGGATGAAACTGACGTCTGCAAAGCAATCTGTAATTCTGTGCTTACTTGATGAAAGCTGGTGGCATGTCCCGTTTCATGATCTGGTCCTCTGTGGTTTGTACAGTATCTTTACCCACCTGAAAAAAAACAGAACAATCTATTAAACTATGCGTTAATGGAACAAGGTACTTCAAGGAAATAAAGAGCTAATGTAAAATCCATAAGACACAAGACTGTTGTTTACAAGCGAAGACAGATAATACACATTTGAGAGTCAATATTTCTTTATATGAAGATACTGGTTTCAATGTTTCGATCCAGTAAGTTCTAGCCGACTTCATCCACCTGGAATTTTCTGGCTTTGGTTTTATCTTTTTCAGGGTCACAGGGGCCTGAGTCGGAGTCGTGGGAGAGGAGGAAACTGCTCGGCAGGTAGCCGCGGTGAACGGATGAAAGCCCAGAAACAACGTCTATGGATCAAACTCCATTTGTGCAGAATCAACATCTAGAACTGCCACCATACCACATCCCACGAGTTACTGTCAGGGTTATTTATGGATACAGCTTCTCCCTTTGGTTTTAACAACGAGGTGCTTTGTTTCCCTTCTTAGGAAACAGAAATGGTGGCACGACAGTCTACAGAGAGGAACCAGCAGCCTCAGCCCTGGTGACGGGGCCATCAGTCATACGGATCGACACCTAAACCTCTAGCAGGAAGTTGCAGAGCTGGTGGTCGATCAGCTCGGTCATATTTACATGTCATTCACAGAGGTCCTCGACCACAACTTTCCGCCCCTCTGCGACTTTTTGTGTTTAATCATGCAGATTTCAAGGATGATGTCCTGTTACTCTTCCAGCGAACAATTTGAGCAATGCAGCTGCTGGGGAGAGCGGGGAGGGATGGGGGGGGAGGCGGGCTCAGCGCAGCTATAATGTGTAAAGCAGCTGAACGCTGCCTCTCCCTCGAATGCCAAAATGACTCACCTCCCCCCATCGTGACCTCAGCTCCGCAGGGAGACGCGACTCACCCACGTCCGAGCCGCCATGGACGAGAGACAGCGCACGTTCATGCCAGGGCACGGATCGCGCTGACTCGGCTAAATGAGCCGGCGCACCAGGGAGATGTTTAAGGTTTTCTTTGTTACATACATTGTTTCATCACAACATATGCAAACCACATGAGCGATTGCATCCCCCATCATTTAGCAATATATAACATTTCCAACACGTTTCCCTCTGTTGACAAAACAAGCAATTTATCTGGGCTCCGGGAGATGCTAATAGCAGACTAAATAATTTATTGATTATTCGGAAAAGGCCTTCTGGGAATTATAAAAAGGTTAGACGTGGTCTTGGGGCTTTGTAGAGCGTTCCCAGAGGGCCATGCAACGTGTCCGGCAGTAGCTGAGTCCATCCAGATGGTCAACGTGGAGGTCTGTAATGTAGCGGCGTCTCCTCTCTCCGACTAACTGAGGGGTTAGAAATCAGGGCCAAAAAAGGTCAGGCCAAATTAAAGCTGGAGCTTAGAGGCTCTCTGCCTCAGTGCAAAGCGACTGCATGCGCACGCCAACCCGACATTCCAGCAACGGGTTTGCAAGCGGACAAAAGCCGACACACAACAACTAAAGCTGTTCAACTAAAGGCCGGCAGAGCCGCGATATCGGGGCCCTGACAGAGTACTAAACATCAGTGACGGGGGGGGGTAATCTCCTTTATTATTAGAAAGTAAAAGCACTCTCCTGCCTTGTGACTTCTGATGTTCGAGCCAACGGTGTTTTCAATGCTTCTAAAACATTTGTACTTTGTGGTAAAACTTCAAATGCGTTTTGTCCGTCTTCGGAGAGGTGTTTGTGGGCCGTATCTTAGAGTTTTCCTCGCCGCAGACTAATAAAGGATTATCTTTATCTTATATTTTTTTAGTAAATCCTCACTCGTTCCATGGAAAGCTAAGTCATGTTTATTCGATGTACGATGACATAACAAATGAAAAGAAAAAGTATAATAGCAGCAAAACCGCTACTTCTCGTCAACAGTAAAAATCAACTGATGACGTCTTTGAAAATAGGTTAGAGATAAACTTCATGGTTAAAATTGACCAAGGTTTTTCTGCAGTTTTTTTTTTTTCAACATCAGTGTTTTTGTTTTTCTTTCTTCAGTATCTTGTGAAATTTCCTCATTGCACACATCTGAAAAAACTTGTTTGACAACCCTTGAGTGACCTCACAGCGGAATAGAAGAGAACAACGGTAAGATTCATATATCAGATCGAGTTCAGACACGACCTAAACTGAGCACCGACTGAATATTTGACTAATAATTTGGAGGCCATAAGCCAACAGTCATTTTCTTCCCAAAAGCATCATGGTAGTTGAGACTCGTTGTTCTGTAATGCAGCAGGTCCTCGGCATCTTCCTTTTCCCACCTCCCCCGTCCCACCCCCCCACTTCCTTCTTCTGTCCGAGCTTCAAAAACAGTCGGCAGCCAAACAGCGATCCAAACAATTTGCTGCAGAAATAGAACCGTGACCCGGATTCACGGGCGTTGTTGTCAAGCAGTTCATGGTGCCCGGACTATATTCTATTATGTGAAGCCCCCCGTCCAACACTGTGGAACACGTGCTCTTGATCTCACTGAGCTTGACGTTGCGCTTCACACCTCAAAAAGTTCGCTAGTTCCTAAAATAGAGAAGACAGGAAACGCAAAAAAGGGGGTGTTGGGTTGTCCAGTTTACAACCATCTCTTAAAACAGTGGCCGGACTAAGCGGCCTAATCACAACACAAATATCCTGTTCCTTGTGTAGATTACATGAACCGCTTTCAAAAAGGAGGGCAAGTTGTTCACTTCCACCTTCTTCTCAAGAACGTGTCACTGCTTCGGTGCCTTCAAAGCTGTCACAAGTCGCGCCCGGAGAGGAGACCGGACACCCTCCTATCACCATCCCACGGGGCGCCGGCGTGGAAACTCTGCGCTGTGAAGTAGCTTGATGGAGTGGCCGCTCCTTGAGGACAGACCCGGCTTTGTGGACGCCAGCCCATCGCTCTGCTGGGAGAAGAAAGGCCGCTCTGAAAAGCCTCGAGGCCGCCAAAACACTGCCCGCCTTTCACGCGCCGGGTCGCTTCAGCACAACGCTGCGTTCGTCATGGCGACCGCCGAGATCTCAGATTCTTTCAAGCCGGCGGTGCCTGCAATGGCCTGCAAATAAACGGGTGTGCTATTCCCGCACAGAGGTTTATGTCCTCTGGGTCGGTTTCCCGCCCCCCTCTTCTGGAAGTGACCTCTGTAGTCTGATGAGACGCGGCCCATTAGCAGCTCTCGATCGATCGTCTCAGGAGTGCTGCGTTCTGCGATATCAAATGACTTTGAACCAACAGTGACTCAGAGGGTGGGGGGGGGTGGGGGGGGGCATCCAACAAGGTTTATTAGTTTGGTTTCAGGAAGTAGCTTTGCATGTGGCGCCCGAGGCCGATGAGAGCCACGGATCAAACGACCCGCCCGCTCGCAGCCAGAGAGACTGGATCACCACTATCCGGCTCGAGTTACCGGCGCTTAGCGGCGCGTACAGTGTTACCGGGCAGCGGCACTCTGGCCGCGTGAAGCCTTCGCTTCAAGACAAGAGGGAGTCAACACACAAGTCACGCAGGTGGGTGGTATGAAAAAAAAAAAAAAACGTCCAGCAACCAACACAGTGTATTTGTCATCACTTCAGTATTTCGGAAAAAGAGACGGCCTGCGGCTTATTACATTTGTTGTGGTTTGCAGTCAAACACATCTGATTGCTATGGGAATGAAGGCAGTCTGGGGGTGGAGGGTGATTTCCCTACACTGACTCACTCCCCTGTTCCCTGAGAGGGGCTGACAGCTGCCGGGTCTTCCTGCGTTGGCTTCCAGCGTTTCCTCGTGTATTCCTCGCTCCTTCAAAGCGCGCGCGATGATATGACAGACTGCAGGAAATGTTTTCTCTTGAATGCCTTTTAGCAGTTCAGTTAATGAACACATTTGTTTCCCATCTGTAAAGGGATTAAAGAAACAGGGGATTGAATTTTTTAAATGTTAGCGAGGATTATAGCAGATACAACCTAAAGTTTTAAGAAGTACAGGATCCCAAATGTGTTTTTTCTGCACGAGTAAAATACTACAGGTGAATCCAACTTCCAGTAGGTGTGTTTATTGGCATTGTTGCGTAAGCACCATGGTATTTTGCAACCTCAGCAACACTGCAGAAGATTAACTGTAGAGCCATAAAGAGGAAGCGTTTCTAAAAGTATGTCCAGACCTGTGAGAACCGGAGGACAGACTCACTACTTTATCTGCCCTCGGACCCTTCATCACCGACATACTTTTCTTTATCCGACCCTCGTCTGTAAAAAGGGATATAATATTAAGTAAGATATAATGAAGAACACCAGGTCTGAAATAGAAAAGGCCTGGATAGTAAACCCAAAAGAAGGAGTGCTGATACAGGGATGCGTGTTGTTCTTCCACTTACCCCTGCAGGATAACAGAATCACGGAGTACACAATACAAACATTTGTATGCCTATTTAGCTCGGAGGAATTTTTAATTTAACAAAATAACGTCATTTTGCTAGGAATTTCTTAGATGTAATGGTTTCACTACGACACCACTTTTTAGCACGTCTACCCAGTTTGATATTTGTTTCCTTTTGTCCCTGTTGCACAAGACATTTTTTGCAATAAACACAAGGCTTTGTTGTTGCACAAGTATCGAAAAACCAACGTCTCTCACAATCACTCAAAAACCAGCAATGAGTTATTTCACTACAGTTAGCCAACATTGTGCCAGTAAAGACATTCGCCGACAGAAGGCTGCATTATGGGTAAAACTCGGGTCTCACAGGCAAAGACAGAGCTGACATGAGCGGTCATGTGAACAGAGGTTTTTAATTTATCTCGGCCATTATTTCATCCAAACTGTTCAATCAAAGGTTCAGCTTGACCCCGTTCTGAGCAGGCCAGGGATGCATTGCTGCTTGCTGGAAATTCCTCACATTCCACGCATTCATTTTTAATTGAGGTCTGGCTCATTGTCTCAATAGATGCTGAGCACCAGTGAAGGGTCTCAGTGAGACCGGACATATTTGACCTCCAATGGTTTGCGTTCATGCTGTGATTTAAAAACACAAGGTATGTACACATGGGCTGAACATGTATAGCCATACATCCGGTGTGACAACATTGGGCCCTTAAATTAATCTCTTATAAGGTCATAGATTTGTTGCAATAAGAGCACCAGATCTCCTCAGACAAGCATTTGAGAGAACCCTAAAAGCACATCTTCCTTTTCCTTCTGCGGCGATGTAAAGTACCGACACAACCGCTACAACATTTCATTTGAAAAAATCCACGCTTGATGAACTATGAGTCACGGGGAACAAATTCTGTGTAACATGTGGTTGTTTCTATACTCTGGAACAATACAATTAGACAGCATCATCCCGTTCTCTTCCAAGAAGGATCCTTTCCTCTACACAACACTTGAGTGAATCATGTTTATGAAAAACTTGTCCTGGAAAATATACAAGATAATCAGACAGTGTATGACTCACACAGCACTGGTCAGAATGAAACCAAAGTTAATTACATACGTCCCTGGACTTCAAATATATCATGACACCGTCCATGTTGTAGTGTTGCCAGGGCAACAGGAAATAATTACAGGCCGTTCCATACAGCCATGCTTCTTTTGGAAACATCTGATCACGATTGGGAACGTCCACAGAGCCGCGATCGTTTAGCCCCACACGAGTCGAGTTTGCACAGGACGTTTTCATGCGAACAAGCACTGAGTGACTTCACCTTAGCTACAGCGTAATGTTGCTATGTTTAAAGCAACACCCATTCATTCGTTTGTTCGAAACTCTGGGAAGATTCTCTTTTAGAAACAAGTATCAAAAAAAGATATAATTTGTGCAATCACTCGGCTAGTTCTACATCTACCCGACACCAAGCAACATGAGCGTCACTCTCCCTTTTTAGGTCCTTGTCTGCGGCTCTTTAGCGATTCCATGTTGCGCTTTCTTCCCTGGATAGTCGTTGGTACTGGGCAGATGGCACACACCAAAAATCAGAGTTGAGCTGCCGGCCGATGCTGGACATTGGATTAATTTGGAGTGCACGTATTCTAAACTTGGTAAAACAGAAGAGTTGGCAGTTCAAACTGTGTGGGTTCACGTAAGCAAGCGATACCTTTGTCAATAGTTGCGTTGAAACACAAACATTACTCACCATCTATACAAAATGATAATATGGCCCTCAGAGGAACGGAGGCGTGGGAGTGTAAACATAGAAATAACGCACACAACGGGGCACAGACCTATAGTTTGAGAGCAGCTATAGAGGAGCAACAAAAGGCTTGGAATGCAGTCCACTAGCTTGAAAGGGTTATGGGTAATAAAACCTTCTGGTTAAACTCCACGTTAATAGCAGGCAATCCCCCTCCACGGGAAGGGAGAAGACAAATCGTCCAAATTTACCTGACAGAGGACAAGGAACCGAGTCTGCCTCAATTTATCCTCCATCCCTTCCCTTTTGCCAACAAGCCACTATATTCTATCTGCTTCCCCTGTGAGGAACTTGTGTTAGGGTGAGAATTTAAGGAAACGACATTGTCATTTCCTTTATTTGCAGCTGTGATGGTTGAGATGTGGCTCAAAGGAACCCCGCTGTGGTGGAGTGCATCGCGGTTCTAAGTAGCATTGAAACCACAGCTGCATCTGGTCAACGGGGTGCACGTAATTACACATTTTGAAAAAGGGCTGTCTGGGAATGTAGAACGAATAGCTCCAGAGACATTTTAATTAACCGCACTTGTTGCCATCGTGAGTCAAAATAATAGGTGCTAAATCTCCACCGAGGATTTTATGTTTTAGTTAAGCTTGTGAGCTGTCATGTTCTCTTAAAGCCTTGTCAACTATTCAATCTAAATATTATGGTGATGCAACTTTTTGGTGGACAACAATCAAAACACTGCAATGGGACACACACAGCTGCAGCCATGGTGGAGGTTTTGATGGTGCTGGATGCGTCCCATGCAACACAAATGCGTCTGTGCAAAGTTTTGTTTGCAAATAATATACAGCACAACTAGTTGATTAGTCTATTTACAGACACGTCTCACGTTTGATTTAAATAAGAATTTAAACAAAGAAGCTTCCGGTACCCGCCCCTGGATCACACACGCACAGCGGCGGTGCCTACGTCGAGGTGGGGGGGGGGGGGGGGGCATATCTTCAAGGGGAAAAGGGCGTCACTGCACTTTGCCCCGAGTCAAACAACTTCAAGAAACTTTTATTGTTATTTGTTGCTATATTCCTGTCATCACACGACAGAGGCACCCGGGACGAGCGCGTGGCGTTCCGACCTTCGAAGTGACGTAAACTGGCGCGTGGGACAAAAGAGCGACAGGTAGCCCGACTTAGTTGCTTCATCCACGCCGAGTTCAGGACAGAGAGAGAGAGAGAACGGGAGAAAGTTACTCACACGGACGAGGTTGCTTACGGCCGCCTGCACGGCAGCCACCGGCGCCGTCAGGTCCGGGATCGCCTTCCCGTCCACCTCACCTTCTTCGTGCATTATGACCAGATGGGATATCTGTTGGGCCACCGGCTCCAGGATGCTTTCTATCGTCTTTGTGTGAAAAACCGGCATGGTGACAACTTTCTAGCGCTATCCAAGAGAGAATTAAGTTAATCTCCTACCACCTAAGGGTTTTAATCCCAAACTCCCGCCTTTTAAAATCCTAAATACTGTTTTTTTGGTTTTGGGAGGGGGGCAGTTTCACCCTGCGGTGTGAGAACTGCAACTGCTCCCGTGAAAGCGTCAATGTGAAAAACGGGCGACCGGAGAGCGAGCGCGAGCAACCTAAACGTCAGCCTCGGCCTCTCGGCCCCGCCGGCCAATCGGCGAGCGAGAAAGAAACTCCCTAAGCGTACGATTGGTCGGTTCGTGGTGCCGCTCGGCATCGGCACCGCCCACATCCCCACAGGCGAGTTTGCTCGAGATCCGAGGTGCTCCCTCTATTACGTAATGGATACTCATGCCCTAAAAAGGGAAATATGTGTCTACTGTTTGTGAGGAGTAGATTCCAGCCGCTGGAAATGACTTTGCCGGTAACAAGTTCTGCCTTTGGCACTTCCATTGCGGACGTTGGAGCGAGGGACGATAAGAGACAGAAGTGCAGACGTAACGGAAAAAAACATGAACCAGAACAGGATATTCCAAATAAAACTTCTAACAGATGCATACGGAATAGAATCATACAATAGGACAATTAAATGTTTATTAGGGGATATTGTGATTATCGCAGACTAATCTGTCGCTGTCTTTTAAGATCAATTAATATCCAATAGAATGGAACAAAATGAAGAAGAAGAAGCTTCAGTGAGGCATCACAAGTGGTGTCATTTCACTGATTGCAACAATGCAAAATAAGAAAACTGAATTCCTTTGACACTTATTAAAGATAACCCTCACCACACACACAGTCAATACTTTACAAACTCACACTGCTTCGTCAAGAGTGGCCCACGGGGAAAATGGCAAATGGGTTGTCATTGCTGTCGCTGGCCCAACATCCCTCACTGAAATAACAATAATTCAGAAATGAAAACCAACTGCCAAGTAAACCAGCTAAGGAATTCCCACAGAATCCCTTGAGGGACTGCAAGGCAGCAGCCCATTGCCTAAAAAGGAAGAGTGCAAAAAGAAAAATTCAAGGAAGTTACTCTGTTTAAAATCCCTGTGTAAACACACAAGAGGCGGATGTGCTTTCCTTTTATATAAGGTCTTAATATGCCAAATGTTAATGACGGGTAATCACATTAAAGAGACCTACATCATCTAGAATATGATGTTTGTCAAGATCTCCATCACAAACCATAAAGGATGTATACTATTTAAAAGAAAAAAACATAAACACGTTTTTTTTTCACTTTAAAAAAGCCTTTCAAGTTCACCCTAATGAAGAGAAATGAACCCACAGACATCAGCGCAAAATATAGTTCGCACTGTCTCCCCAAAGTCACACTATCCAGCCGAGTTCACCCTGAATATAGACATCAAAGATGGCCTGCTGCTGCTTCCTCGGCTCTCCGCTTACTGACAGGGGCCTTCCATGTGTGCATGCTGGAATGTGAGTGAGGCTGCACAAGGTGGGTGGTCTGCATCTTCCCCTGGTATAGTGCAGCTAAAACTGCTGCTGCATGGAGGCGTTTTAGTGTCCTGACAAACAGTGTTTGCACATAGTAAATAAGGTTCTTAATCGGGCAGTGAGCGCCATCGTCTGGCTTTACGCAGTAAATGCAGTGAAATGAGTGAAACGGAGAACGTTCGAAAACCACACAACTCACTTAACTATGTCAAGACAATGCCACACTCATTAATTCAAGTAGGTCTGTGACCTGCTAGGCAAGACTCCCAATCTTCAGTTACAAGGTCCTGTGCTGTGTGCACCAAACCAGAGCTGTATAGTATTGGTAGAAGGAAACGCAAATGACTGATATGTCAGAATGCCATTTAGAGACTAAGATTGGTTGACTAAGAGAAGGAAGCCCAAATATTTTTAGTAACACCTTTGTTTTTTTCTCTCACTAAAAGTCAAAATATGTTCTCTGATAAAATCAAATTGTATAATGTCACGTTATTTCCTACTTTCGAGCACAATTTAGTAAATCAACCTGCATGTAATCCGTGCGTCACAACATTCATTATAACCAAAACATATTAGCATTAGATGGACCGAGAAGCAAAAACAGGGTGCACACATTCATGTCCCTCTCATAATGAAAGTGCCTTGACTTTAGTGATCCCTTAAATTGATCATCTGGCACAAACCTTTTTACTCGTTGAATACTTCATAAGTAAAAATAACCTTCAGTCACAGCTGTACTTTGGGTCCAGAGCAAATCTAAGCAAGTCAAAGCATGCTGACGTCTTCCAGTAAATAACTTGACGACAAAATTCTGTCTTGAACCTTTATTTAAAAGTGTTTTTCAGCAGACTTTGAGGTCAGGAAATGGAGAGAAAAGGAGATAATGCTCTGTGTATTTTGTAAAATGTTAAAATGCCACATGAGGGCACTACAGGATACGAATAGAGTGATTATCTGTAAAGACCTTTACAGATAATTTTCATCATAATTACTTTTTTTGCAATTATTGGGGATGTAGTTACCTTCAATGTGATTTGCTTTGTTTTGAGGTTCTGTTGGTAACTGGAGGTTAATTAACCTCTGAGAGAGAATGTATTAGTTTATTGTGTGTAGTTGACAGATGAAAACTTCATTGCTTCATTGAGGCTTTAAGGAAACACTTGTTAAAATCCAAGATGCTTATCTCTTAACCTCAAAACCACATTAAATGATAATAAATATCTTGGGCATAGTTCCGTACAAAAATATATTTAATCACATTTAGGATGTGTGAAAACGTCGGATCTTGAAGATAACTTAATATCCTCTACGTGTGATACGGGTCCCAATGAAGCGTTTGTTTGAATAAAGCAGCAGCAAAAAAAAAAAAAAAGTTCTGTTTTCCTTATTGAAATAAAAGAAGATTAAGATGCTGAAAAATAGTCTTCGTATCAGCAAGTGAATGGAAAGAAGTTTTACAATGAATGTTCCGCATGGTTCACTCCTCATGGAATTATTCAGACGAAACATACACACGCAGTATAATACACTATAAACTGAATCAACTCAGAATCGTTACGTTAATGTCCATGCTTTGACATAGTAACTTAAAAATGTTATTTATGTCTGCTAATTTTGTTCATGTTCGCTTCTATATGGTGGTGATATGACAAAGGTGTGTCAACAGCTAAAATAAGATTAGCTAGACTTACTTCTTTGTTGCTATAGCAACACAAAATACTGTAAAAAAGGCTCATCGTGGATGTGAACTGTGTATTTAGGTTTCTACTTAATCAGACGCTACACATCATGCACTTTGCATAATTTCATAATGGTTACCTTTGATTGCAGATGAAGTGTTGTACAGTGGGAGTGCAATCAGTTTTATTGCTGGACTTCGGTCACTTTGCTCTAGTTGCCACATGTCTCACTACACAGCAACCAATTTAGTGGGTGAAATCTCATCATATGCAATAGAATAACAAGCGTTTAAAACGGATAAGGGAAAATAAACACACATTCTGACTGTGATTAAACTAACTTTAAATAACATACACTAAGGAACAAGAAGAAATTATCTGTGCTTTAATGGCTGCTGACTATGTCTAAAATGAGCTCTGCAGGCACTCAAAATAAAAATGTTTTCTTACATTAGTGTAACAAAACCAATGCCAACTGTTTAATATCATTGGAACATTTCAAGGATACGGCTTCGGAATGGAGAACATGGGCTACGTTTCAATGCTACGGTGCATCGGTTACACCCTTCTGAGAAAACTTCCATCAAGTGTCCCCCCCCCCCCCCCCCACTCCATCTTAGCCATCCAATGAACATGAATTGATTGATTGTGATACGTCCTCCCTGTGTCCTCCCTGGCTTTTCACATCTGCCACTAGGAAAGTGCCCTCCTCAGCCCTGACTCAGATGGGTTGGTGGGTGTATGTTGCTCACTCTCTCCGCCCCTCGCTTCTTTACTCTCTCTTTTTTTTTCTCTCAGGCTGTCTTACTGTTTCCCCTCCTCCTTCCCTCGCCTCTCTCCCCTCACACTCTCCATCTCCCTCTCCTTCTCCTTTTGATCACTTCGGTCACTTGCTCCACTCCCTCGCCCGGTCATTCACTCGCACACTCGACACCACCTCTCCCTGGGCACCACCTCCACCAGCGGAGATCCTCGCCCGTGTCAGCGTTTTTGCCAGTTGGACGCACGCCCCGCAGTCACCATTACCACCCCGGAGAGTTCCACGCTGGCAGCGCAGCCGCTTCCCCGGCTGAGCATCGGGCGCAAGACCCTGGTGGCGGCTGCTGTGGGGGTCATGCTGGTCCTGGTTCTGGTGGTCCTCATCCCTGTGCTGGTCAGCTCCGTTGGCACGGGTGGCGCGGATGACAGCGCCAGCCACTTTGAGATGCTGGGTACCTGCCGCATGGTTTGTGACCCCTTCCCCACGACGGGCACGGGTTTGCCAGCAGGAACCGACACGGCAACCGACGGCCCGGAGGTGGACGATGACGCGGACCTGAGTGACCACAGCATCGGCCCACCGCTGCCCACCTACAGTGCTCACGGGCAACAAGGCAAACCGGGACGACCAGGTAAGCCTGGACCCCCGGGACCACCCGGAGAGCCCGGGCCCCCAGGACCCAAGGGTCCGCCGGGAGATGGTGTGGACATTGTACGTACTGGGATTCTGGGATTAGGGGGGAAAGGGTCAGTTAGCACAACCACATACAACACCATGCCTCGGGTGGCGTTTTATGCAGGACTCCGAAACCCTCAAGAAGGTTACGATATTCTGCGATTTGATGACGTGGTGACAAATATCGGGGGTAACTATGAAGGCTCAACCGGCAAGTTCACCTGTAAGATTCCCGGCACCTACTTTTTCATCTACAACGTGCTGATGAGGGGAGGAGACGGCACCAGCATGTGGGCTGACCTGATCAAGAATGGTCTGGTGGGTAACACTTTAAACTCTTCAGGCTCCTTCCCCCAAACACTTACCGATGTTTCCTTGATTTCATGGCAAATTTGACAAATGGAAAAAACGACAGTTTCGCAGCACAAATGGAAAAGACCTGTCCTTCACGAGATCAGAAGCCTGAATTATGCCCTGCGATGTACCCAAATCAAAATGCTCAGGGAAGAGTGTGCTGGCAGTATAAATTGAGTAGTCATGCATTCATGTGAATGGTGATTTTAAATCTGACTTGGTCCGGTGTTATAGTCCAAAATAATGACAATGCACAGTGGCATTCTGCCAGATTGTGTATCCGTGCATATTACACGTCCGGTGATGTACACACTGAAGTGAGTTGAAGGAGTGCAGCGCTATCTCAACCCTGCACACATCAAAACACAGCCTGGGGTAGTGGCTAGTTCAAAGCTGGTGCCCTTTGAAATACAACAAACTTCCTGGAACCGTGGTGATGAGCTAGTGAGCGTTATCAGTCTGCCTGTCAGGTCCAAACGTTTCAATATCCAATCATGAAATTTGCTGAACTTTTGTAATGTCGTTAAAGCCCCAGGTGATGACATTGATCAAACACTGGAAATATGAGCCTGGACGTTTTTCTACAAGCGTCTCAGCCAGGCTTAAACAAGCTACAATAACACCAGTCTATTAGGATGCCACCTGGTATAATGTCATATTTGAACATTTGAATTGTTTGAATAGTTACAAAACACAAAGACACATGTTCAGTCTTTCTGTGACTGATCAGGACCATTTATGAACATCCATTTAAAGTGATGTTGGGACAATATTTGCCGCAATATACACATCTCTATAATTACTATACAAGTTAGACAATTGTTTTCCATTTATGACACACTATTCCAGCATATTGTGTTATCGGTCAGTGTCTTTGTGTGAGGGGTGAACATCATGCTGCTGCACATCTGTGAGGGTGAGATACCTGGAGGGAAAAGAATTCAGGCGGCATTGCCCTGAATTGAATCCATCAACATGTTGTCATCCGTTGCTGAAACCCAGGAACCTCTTGACATACATTTTGCTCTTCGTCAGCACCAATAAGACCTCCTTGTTCTTATTTTGGTTCTAATTCAATTGAATTAGGTGTTACAATTGTATGCGTAAGGCGAAGTTACCTCGTTACAGCCGACCTGGCAACGCAGATCATAATACATTAGCTAAAGCGTAAAGGGGATGAAGCCACTTCACCCAGTTCTGCTTTCATACACACACACGCACACAGGAGATTTGGGTGTTATGCTCCAGATCTAACACTCACAGTAATTACTCTGGATAAACATGGCATTATCAGTGCTCCACCCAGAAAAAGGTGGATGTGAGAGTAGCGGACGAGGCAAAGGCATAGTATGCACTGCCACGCTTCGTTAGAGGCAGACTGACTCAAGCGTGACCCTTTCAGCTGAGTCATGAGGGAAAAACAAGATATTCCCCACAGACGACACACTTCAAACTCCCAAAATTCAGCCCACACGTTTTGTAATTACAAAATTTCGGTTTCTGCTTGACTCCAACATAAAAATAAATATTGTCTCATGTTGTGAAGAAGCACTACGTCAGTTAAGGTTTGCGTGCATGAAATTATCCATTTGTTTTAATATCATCATTGACTTTAGCAATGTCGTCTTAACATACTCCTTTCCGCCTTATTAATAATATATATATTTTTTGTGGCAAGGTTGCATTTTAACAATGATAAATGGATTCATTTGATAACATCTGCACGTGAATTAAATAAATCCTAATTGTGAACCTCGTAACATTCTGTTGTTCACACTTCCTCACTTCTCCTCTCCTCCTTGTGTGCGTATGTCATATTCCAGGTCAGGGCCAGCTCCATCGCTCAAGACCAAGACCAGAGTTATGACTACGCCAGCAACAGTGTCATCCTTCATTTGGATGCGGGCGATGAGGTTTTCATAAAATTGGACGGGGGCAAGGCCCACGGGGGCAACAGCAACAAATACAGCACCTTCTCGGGGTTCATCCTCTATGCTGACTGAAGACTGGACAGGACGGGGGGGGCTCAGAGGTGAAAGGTCACAGGCAGGAGACATTCACCACATGACTTTCACTCGGCTCCTGCGGGGAGGTTAATGTTGCCCCTAGCCACTGATCCACAGTCAGATTGTTTTTTACAGATGTTTGAGGCGAGCACCGATAGTGGCGTCAATGGCCGTGGATCTGTGGTTATCTGTAACTGTCTACCTCCTCATCCACATGTCCCATTGCGTACCGGGTGCCTATGCCGCTTTTATGATGGATGCAAGGGAGGAAACGGTGACGGACGTGTATCATGCTGAGGTGCGAGTAACAATTCTGACCGTGAAGAAGCCTCTCAATCGTTTTTGAGCTGTCATTTTCAATTTCAAGTCTGGAAATCTAACATTCGTGGCGACTGCGGTGTTTGTAAACGTGCAGATAAGATTTGTCTTAAAATTATATTTTTTTCATGCTGTTTGTGCGATAAGGTGTTGTGCTTCAACGACATGAGGATATGTATTCTGTTCCCAAGAAATTCTAATTTGTCAAAAAGTGGACGCTTAAATGAGATTATGATCCACAAACTGTGTTGTGTCTCGGTGTGATGATTTGGAAAATAATGTCATATCAGTCCATTATATTTGGCATATTGTTGGTGTAAATTTGATATTGTCACAATCAAAGTAGTGTAGTTACACCATATTGCGTGTCTATTGCTGTGGATCGATAGTTGTACAATTAAATCACGTACTGTGCTTGATTGTAAAAACGTATTTCTTTAATTCATGCATGCAACCCCTCAATCTTCTGTATGTTTCCACAACCGATGAAGAGAAATAGTCATTTTAAACAAAGTTGAAATAGGTGTGGGATAAAGGATCGTATATTGCTGTTGCATTTAATCTTTTCATTAAACTTTTTGCTTTTTGACATTTTCTCACACGTTACGTTGCTAATGTCACCTAATCTACTTTTTGATCAGCTGTTTTGAGCTCTAATTTTCCAGTGAAACCAGTCTTTAGTCCCGCAAATGTTACACGCGCGAGAGCCGCGTCGGCGTGAAGAACGGCAATCAACGCGGAGATGATCACGGAGGGAAAGGGGAGAGGAAAACACAGCTGTGTTAAATGCCAAAGGAAGAGCAGGAGATGATTGTGTTTCACAATCAAAGGAGACTCGTGTGTTTCCTCTCAGGTGTCAAAAGACACTAAGATTTAGTGTTAAAAAGCCACAGGACGGGTGTTATAACACGTCACGACAAGGCTTAGATCAGGCCCGGCAAGTGATCGGGGGCAAATTAGGCTGCGTTGGAACTGCGACATAAATGTTAGAGACAGGAATATCGCTTCCAGGGCTAAACTGTGAAACCCAACGCACATGTCTGCTTCCTTCCAAGGTCACTTTGATATAAAAAAAAAATCTTTGGACATAGTTTGCCTTTGACGTGACCTCATGAAGGGTCCAAAACTATCACTTATTTAGTTTGAAACACCAAACTGAGAGTTCAAGAACTAAAGTTTTGAGGGTGTCACAACATGTTAACATGGAAAAAAAATGATTTAACACACATTTACTCGCTGACAGAAGCTAACGCAAGCGGATGCCAGTCCAATGTTGCCTCTCAAGCTCAATTAAGTTCAGCATTTCGGTGTGAGCTTTAAATTCGTGCAGAGTTGATTAAATTGATGAGACAGGATTTCCACACACGCACAGTGCAAGAGCATCCTGCTTTCCGTCTTACTGCTCTACGCAGCGAAGGCCGGGAAGCCCTCTGGCCTAAACTTAAGCCTGTCTTAAGACAGCAGAACTCCCCCAGACACAATTAAGACGGAGGGTCTGTGCCTAAGCAGAGGTCACCCGAGCCAGGGGGCCGCTGAGCAGTAGCACAGGCGGCTTTTCTCCTTGCAGGGTGCATGAGCACATCTTCAAATTAGAGACTTCATGTCACGACGTCAAAGACAAACGCCCCCGGACCGCGAGAAACAGCCCCGACTGCTGAAACCGTTGGAACTGGATTTTGCCCGCGAGTCTGCAACATCTGCACTTTCCCCGAAGCCCCAAATGGGGCAAAAACATTGTTATATATTAAAAAAAAATGCTTAAGGTACCAAAAGCTCAACAGTAAAACATAAACATTTAAAAATATGCGAGTGAAGAGAGTCAATTGAATATGCACCTGAAATGATTCCTTCTTTGCCAGAACACATAAAGACTTTAGATGTGCCCTCATTTTAGCAATTCATACTAATTATTGCATAAGGTTGCACGGATAAAACTGAGACCCTTATTTGGCCATCTACCCATCCTTTTTGGAGCCGTTTATTGAGGTCAGGAAACAAGGGAAAGCCCCAAACCATCTGTGGAAGCCTTCGTCTTTAACGTAGGAAGGTTCTCCAAATCTCCAAATTCTGCAAATCTGGGGGATCCTTACCCAAGCTATTGTGTTCGTATGGCAAATAGAAGCCCCTCCCTGAGGGGGGTTTGGTTTTGATTGTGACTTCAGCTGAACAACCTACCCAACAGGACGCCCCGGGGCCGGTGAGTTAGGTGATGAAACGGCATCTGCACTGTACGCAACGCTTGAACTATTGAGTCACATTTCAACTCACGTCTTCCCCCGACTTTGCATTCAGGACCAGGATTTAAAGGTATTCTTCCGCCATGTGCTGTAAGCGGCTTTTGTTTTACGTAAGCGCTGTCTCTTGGTCCTCTTTTCATCATGCATATGTAGAAGGATTTGAAAGAAAATGTCTACCCTGCAAACTAGTTTTAATTGAGGTAATCTCCAGCAAAAGTAAACGAACCTAAAGGAAATTGTGATTAATTCCCTCCCTGCGACTCCCAATCAGAAAACTGGTTTTGATGCCTCCTGCTTGACATTTGCAGGGGCCGGGCGTGAGGCTTATCAGGCTACTGCAGAGTGCGCGTGCGTGTTTGTGGATCCGTGTGTGTTAATGTTTTGCCCAGCGTACGGGTCAGCGTGCGCGCGTGTCTCTCTGCGTGCGTTTAAGTCTCGAGGAGACAGGGGAAGACTCGGCTCGGAGAGAGCACCTCGTCCCCGAAATGTCTGAATTGACATCAATGAGCCTTTGGTGTTGTTATCTTTAGCATCCCCACTTACCTCACCAGGGGAGATCCAAAGCAGAGACAGATGCTTTAATTGTCACGCTAAATGGCCCTTTCTGCTCATGTGCCACACTTCCTCTCCACAATCGTTCCGCCTGCACACACACACCTACCAGCACAAACGGTTTCACTCGGGTGTACAGCAGTGGCGGCTGGTGGACAAACGTCTATTTAGGGGTTCGTCTTGATAGTTCTTAATGCACCTGGATTTACACACTGGTTTTGGTGATTACCCATAACAGTCATGTGAGCTTTGGTCTATAAAAACCAGCTACCACCCAAGGCACACGCGTACGCTTGATTAGGTCACAACTGTTAAAGAATACGAACCAACAAAGGATTGCTATTTTTTTGCAGTCGCAGTCCTGATCCCGAGTGAACAAATTTCAAACAGAAGACACGCTCAAGGTGTTGACAGCAGAATGGACTAATTTGATTGCAACGCAGCGTCTGCTTTATGCTCCTGTTGAGGAGTGATAGTATATCAGGAGCAGACAAAGATTCTCGTTTTTCACTCCTTTTGTGTGCAGTTTGTGGAGAGTCAACTGTTGCTACTTTTAGTCCACCGAGTTCATGACTGTAGTTTTGGAAGGTATTTCCTTTATAGAGGACATCAGGCACCTGAGATGTTTCCTAAATCACAACATATTCCTAATTGAGAGGTGCTTTTGGAATGGCACATTCCTACCAATGATTGTCCACGGCCCACTAATCTACAGGTAGCGGCCAGACACACACACACACACACACACACACACACACACACACACACACGTTATGCAGGAAGTGATTGACTGCAGGTGACTAAAATACATTCTTATTGTGTGAGGTCAATTGGGGAAATGACCCCTGATCCTCTTTTGATCAAATACAGTCTTCAACAAACAATGAGGGACCTGCTTACCTAAAAGAAAAAGTTTTTTATGAGGAATTGGAATCGGGTTCGCTCAAGTTAACATATCGCATATCGGGTCAGCACAAATAAATTTGCTCGTTGAGGAGAAAGACCCACGGGGCACCTTTACATTTTGGTCAAAATATTGTGAACACGACGTAACAGGCACGCCAGCGCAGAATCCTCACCTTTTCATCCTAGTAGACCCGAGTGTCTTTGCTCCCCGCACACATTGCCCTCCTCTTTCCCCGGCGTCGCCGTGCAGGATTCGGGGACCGTCCAGTGTGTCGGTGACTCAATACCCACGGCCTCGTTTCCCTCACGGGCCCCTGACTGAGCCGCGGCTAACGCGCAGGGACAGGCCTGAGTCACGCGGCCGGGGACGCTCCGCTGGCGGGTTGCCTGTCTCTTCACCTCACGGGAGTCTCGCGGATGCGGCACGACAAAAGAGGCCGCGGAGGGGCGCCGCGCGTGCCTCTCCCCCCCCCCTCACCCCCCTGCGTGACACAAGACGCCGGGGTTCAAGAGCACTGAAGCCGCTGTGGTCGACTCGGGCCATGCAGCATGTGTGACCTGCTGTGCTCGGAGTGGCAGGGGGGGGGGGTCAACAAGGTCAACAAATCCCTCCTCGGAACGAAGCGAGCGAGAGGTTGAGATTTGAATTGCTCTTCATTCCTGATTCCTCTTTTTTATTTTTTTTTACTTTTATTGAAGTAAAGACGGGAGAATTTCCTCCACCCAGAGTCAGAACGTGAAGCAGCTAAATGGAATCCAGCCACCATTATTTATACAATGTAAACCTTTGTAAACCAGTAATTAAAACACTGTTGGGCTGTCAGTCATCAGGAGTTTGGAGCTTTTCCCATGCTGCTTTCCCTCCCCTAACGAAGAACAACCCCCCCGCGCTCAGATAGGAGCTACGAACACGTGGACACGCTGTGGTGCCGGAGGCAGGCGATGGTGAGACGATAGAAGTCTTTACCCCCTGCCATCGGGAAAATGATTCTCCCTGCTCCAGCGGACACAATGAAGCAGCGTCTCCGCCCGCGTGAACCTTTTTTAGCTCGACACCTTTTAGAATCAAACCCAATTTATACTCCACACGCCACCCTCCTGTGCCTGGAGACTTCACACTCGCTGGTGCAGATATAGTCTTCTTTTCCCAAACGCGACATCTGGCCTCCGTCGGCGTCTTGAGAAAGAGACCGAGAATAAAAGCAGCCGGTTGCTCTGACGTGCGCGTGTCAACCCGTTGAATCGAGTTTTACCACACGATCATCAATTTTCATTGAGTCAGCCATGTCGAGACACATACATGTCGTTATTTGACTCAACCATCTTGGCAGAGCACATTTTGAGCCATTAGATATGATTGAAAAATGTATTGACCTTAACTTAACCTCCCTGAGCCATCCCTGTTGCTTTTATTGAGGAGTGTTGTTGTAACAAAGGTGAGATACGATTATTATTGCCCAGAAATTCAAAATGCAAATAAATCCTTCCCACTCCCATTTTTTTTCAGCGAGGTCATTAAAGGGCTACGAGGACCTGGGTTGTTTGCAGGACATGATCACATGTGTATATTACTATTTTCCTTTGTAATCGTCACCATTATCATCAGTACACGCCCACCGTGCTCTGTGGACAGTTGCATGTCCTCTTTGGACGTGTCCAAGAGACGACATTGTGTCTGAGGCTGTAACGTCGTACGACGAATATGTACGAGCAGCCAAGCAGCCGTGGTCTATTGCTGACCCCCCCCCCCCCCCCTCCCCTGCCCACCGAGTCACTTTGCATTAATTCTGCTGTGGTTTAATGAAAACAAATAGCAGACCAGTGGGAGCCGCGTGGGGCTCGTGGGACCTCAGCGCCAGGATGATGTCACCGCGCCCGCCCGCCCCGCGGCCACGACTTTCATGCCGAAGCTCTAATGTGGACGATAGCAAGGACATCACAGCCGACCGTTGACACAAGTTAACAGGACTTCCTTCTACATCGTGTTATTTGGTCGGGTGATGCATTTCAATATCGCTGAGGTGAAGATTTATCAGGAGAACTGGACATGTCTGGTTTGAAAGGTTTGGGCATTTAGGAGACAGACGCTCAACTACTGAGATGGATGAAATGTGAATATACAGTCTGACATCTATCTAGTTAGAAAACATCCAGTGAAACTCCCTCACTGAACAACCCAGAATCTACAAATATGTTATTGAATTCAGATTTAAAAGTGACCACAAACTTTCTATAGCTTCAGCGGATTATTTTGACTTATAAAGTAATTAACTACAGAACCATGATTCAGCACAGTAAATCTGATATAAAATGTTCAGAACAAAATCATTTATATTTCAGTTGCTAAACTAATTATTCAAATGTTGTGTTTTATTTACAACTGAGTTTGCACAGAAAAACAAAATCAAAGTTTTAGTATTAAGTGTAAGAAAATACAGTGCGATGTATATAAAAGGGATTGTCGAGTACATTCTGTCATTTATCTTCATCATGCAGGTCATTAACATACAATCACAACATGCGGAGGCATCAGGACACTTTAACCCTTTTCTCTACCATGAGTATTGCAACCAATTTAAAAGTTATTCATCACTGAAATCTGTCACCCAAAATGTTTCATTTGGAGATCTTCACAGGGTATAAAAGGTGCAAGAAAAACCAGAAGAAAAAACATAATTTCTTTTGAAAACTAATGTTAATTCTATAAGAACTGCTTCAAAATAAACCGTTTTTAGGCCCCAAACCTCGATCCCTGTATCTAATGTATCACATTCATGTTTTAACTGAAATTGCACACTCGGACCTTCGCTCACTAAACCACATTCGTCAGTGCCTTTTGATTCAACGAAACTGATTCACTGAACTGTAGTGGCGGGTGCTGTGAAACTAATCTCACGGTAAATTGCACCGGAGGACCTCCCGGTGCGACGTCGCCTGCTTCTATTCGCGCATCCTGGACCTCCCCCCCACCCCCCACCCCTCCCCCTCTCTCCTCCCAACTCTGCCGTTAGGACAAAAGTATCTTGGCGGCATACAGCAGCATCCCGCCCAGACCGGTAGTGGCGGCAATGGCGATGACCCTCACTAAGATGAAGTCCATGGAGTCCTCCAGCTTCGTGTGCAATCTCAGCACCTGCCGGTGGGTGTCCTCGCGCCCGCCCGAGTTCTCCACGACGTGATTGGCCAGGCCGCGCTTCTCGTTTAGCGGCATCTGCGCGGCCACGCGCTGCTCGGCCTGCTCCTGGCTCAGGCCGTCCCTCTGCATCAGGCGCGAGAGCTGGGTGGCAGGGTCGCTGTGGGAAAAGGCGCGGACGACGGGGGTTATTTATGGCGCCGGGTTGAGAAGCAAAGAGGCGGTGAGTCATGCTGACAAGGCGCACAGAGCGCCGGAGAGCAAACAATTTCAAATGTGGAACCTGCGTGGAAACAGTCCGAAAGTGATGGGGGGGGATACGCGGAGAGGGAACAGTGGTCTCACCAGTAAACTACCACCGTGTGGTTTAGAAACTTTGTGAGGCGTCTGGTCTCAAAGAGAAGGGGCACGTCCAGCACCACGTAGCGGTAACCTGGGGGGACAGAATCAATTAGTGTCAGCAAAGTTACACTGGCGCGGTGAAAATAACAGACGGCGATATCTTGAGTCGCTAAAAAGAACGAATGAGGTAGTGTGAAGTATGTTTTTCTCCTTATTTAGAAGTTACAGTTTAAAATGTGTCTGACTCTGCACCTGGAATCTGTTTGACACTTTCATCTCATTTGCCTTTCCCCGCAACAGCAGAGATTATGGGACTTAAATATGTCGCTGTGTGGCTCACAGGGAGCAGTTCATGCAGCTCTAAACACCCATCGCTGCACCACAAAACAGCCTTTGGTCCCTTTCACAAGCCGCGTTCCTCCCTCACCTCTTAGGAAGTAGAGCAGGATCTCCTTGAGCATTGCTTTGTGGATCTCCGGGTGGGTGATGGAGTTCAGCAGCTTCCTCTTTTCCTCGTCGGCGAAGATGAGCTGACCCAATTTCTGTCTGTCGATCTCTCCGTTCTCGAGTAGGATCTCCGGCCCAAAGTGGTAGACGATGCGAGCGTAGGCCGGAGTGTGCGGCTCCACAACTGTTAACGGGTAACAGCATTTGGTCACTTCAATCGGCAAAAATGATGTGTCAAATAAAATGAAAAAAAGGGTTTTGAATGCCTGAGCAGTATTGTAGCAAATAGATTGATGGACAAAAACAGAATAAGAGAAAAACTAGACCGAATTTGTAACAGACGCCATCACATCTTGAGCATAATGCCTTATATTTTCTCCTACACAAACTTTTCACCCAGGTCTGTGACCTTTACGTCTTCATTCAAATCACCACCATCCCTGCAGTCAACAGAGACAGCCGTCATGATTCATACTCTCTCTTACGGCATTTGTCTTAATGAACCTCCTACAGGCCCAGCCTCCGCTTGTCCTTTCAGCATAACCATTAAGGTCAGCGATGTGAGCGATGAATCTCCAATTGCACGTGTGTGTGTTTTATTTGAGGGTTCGGATGGATTGACGGTTCCGACTGGAAATTTAACTGAATTCGTTTGAGCGTTTTGCAGGAGGCAGACATTGGCAGCCTACCTTTCCTGGCCACGACGTCTGCATCAATAACAGGGCACCCGAGCTCCCGCAGCATGGAGGACACAGCGCTCTTCCCTGAGGCGATGCCTCCCGTCAGCCCCACCAGGAACATCTTCACGCAAAGACACGGAGGAACCAATCCGAGCGGCACAGCAGACGTACTGTTACAGACTCCTGTTCATGGGACTCCTGCAGACGGGGCAGAAATTCATTCATTCAAAACAAATGAATAATGTGAGAAATGAATACATGGAGCTTGTCAAAACTTAAATTAGTTTGTAGATAAGAGCAATAACAACATTCACAAAATGGGGAAATAAACGAAATTAAATTTAAAAAAAAAAATGAGGACAAAAAATAAAAACATTTTTAGGGAATGTTCATTTACAATGAAATAAATATTTCCAGGTTAAAACGTTTCATGCGGGTTAACAACACGCCCCCTGCTGTGAAGGTGTTGAGACACACGCAGATTATGTTCTGTGCCTGGTTTGACAGTTTTTAAATTATTCATAATTTAACACCAAAAATAAACCCCCTAATGAGCGTTTCAACGTCATCAACTAACGTTAAACACCGGAGAGAACGACTGCTGGTTTCCAAACGGATTTTGAGTTATTTTATTAAAGTCAACAAATACTTCCATTGTGTACTTTTGCTTTTAAATTTACCTCGCGATCGTGTTATTCTCCTAAATGTGCAGTCAGGTGCGGAGCCGCAGCGGGGGGCCGGTTGCAGTGGACAAGCAGGCTTGCTAACGAGCTAACGTTAGCATAAAGTCTCGTTCAGGTCACAGGCATCATACACACGCAATAAAACCAAGTCGCAGTCATTTCCGGGCAGCCCTATCAAATGCGCAATTGGACAAAAAAGGTTGGAGACTGTCGGGTTGTTAGATATTGCTGTCTGTAACTACGACTTTTACGTAACTGATTGCTAATGACCTAGCTTCTTAGCTTGGCGAGTGTCACCTTAAAGGTCTTCCGGCATTTCTCACGTTAGTTCCGGCTAGCTCATTCAGTTTCTACTCCTAGAGGGACTACGACTTTCTCCAAAACGTGTTTATTTCACAGCAAAACAGAGTTGCACGGCTTAAAATATAAACAGTTTTGTTTGTTTTTTGGATAAAAAAGGTAAATCCATTGCTTTGTCTCAAAAAAAATCATAAAAACTTCAGCATCAACAAAAAATGACATTTTTTTCCAAGATCATTCTCCTGTGAGCAAGTTTTCTGCTTGCTGATGAGTACTTTTATTTGCAGATGGCATCTCAGACGGCACAGGCAGACCGGGGGAATTGTGTGAATGTTTTGACCGTTTCCCTCGGAGGACCATTTCGCCTCCACTCTCCCCTTCCTCCCGCTCCAGCCTCCCTCTTTTGACAAAATGGTTTATTCTGGACTCCAGGCTCTCGCAGCATGGACGCTCCAGCAGGGGCCGGTAGTTTCTTTGCCTGCTGCCTTCTATTAGCAAGCAATGATTAGAAGAGACTCCACCTGTGGACGTAGAGTGAAAAAAAAAATGTACATCCAGTTGACGTTTTCATGTGTATGACTGGGTCCAATAAAAGTATTGAACGGATATATGAATGTGATCGGTTAACAGGGAAATTATCTAATGCATGCATGGTCTACATGGTCTGTTGTGGATGTTGTTCTGGGCTGACATTAGATTTTATTGTCCCAGTTCATGAAATTTCCCAGACTATAAAGTGTTGTCAGTCTGTTTTATTTCACCTATGGCCTCCAAACTCTGGATCATCCCATGCAGGACGTGTGTCCTGACTGCGCTCTGAGTCCAGTGCTGCTGTAGTGTGGCCAGGACGTGGGTCACCTCTTCGGTCTCCTGTTTCCAGCTCAAGCCTTCAAAGTGGCAGTCGTGCAGCACCAGCGGGTAGTCTACTGCCATGCTGGGGACAGAACAGGTGATCCAACTGTATGTCAGACAGCATTACCATTAAAGCTTTCACAGGAGTTTAATTTTATGGAAAAAGGATGACTTCTATATTCATACCTGTATTGGGGCTTCCTGGGATTGCTCTGAACATCCAGGAGCTGATTAATTATCTCCGGTGCTTCCAGTTTCTGCCCTATCAGGAGAAGCAAGGCCATCATGCATCGTACCTGCAGCACAACACAGCAGGAAACTCGCCGCAGTAAGAGACTACAAATGTCATTAACCATAAAGTGTAACGGCTTTAAACGAACACAAGTTTCTCTTCTTGATACCTGGTGGTAAAGGAAGCCGAGTCCTTTGATCTCAAACATGAAGAGGTCATACTGGTCCACGCCGGAGACGAGCTGAGGCCGCACAGGCTTGACTGATGCTGACAAGATGGTCCTCTCAAACTGCAGGACTCCGTTGCCCACATCCATTTTGCACAGGTTGCGGAAGTCATAAGTACCTTCGTATCTGTTGGGGGGGGGGGGGGTTAAAAGGCCTTCAAAATCAGATCTGTAACTCTGGAGGGTGGCGTCGGGGTTTCAGCAACTCGTGCCTTCACCCACCTTTTGGCAGCATCCGCCATCAACGTCACGTCCAACGACCCGCGGGGGAAGTAGTAGCGGTACGTGCGCGACTGGCAGTCAAAGCGTGCACTGAACCCCTCTGCTGCCGGGGCCCAATCCAAGACCCTGATGTCGTGGGGCAGGACTCTGTTCAGCATCTTCACATACGGAAGCTCGCAGCCATTGGCTTTATTCTTGGCACTAACAACATCATGTTCGGGGACCGTGACGCCCAATCCGCCACAAAACTGCGTGGAGCGCAAATCAATGGTTATGACCTGCGGAGAAAAGACAGCGTTAATGTACAAAAGGGCCCTTTGTTATTTGTGCTCATGTCCTGATTACGGACGTATGTGATTAAATCTCGCGCAGGGACCTCACCTGGGAAAAAGCACTGACTCCTTTATCAGTGCGACCACACCGGTGGTAGTTGGAGGTCTGTCGTTCCTGAATCAAGCGCGTCTTCAGCAGCGCTTCGAAGAGCCTGGCCTCCACAGTGTTGTCCGTGTTCTCCTGAACCGCGAACCCTTGGTAGGACCATCCCAGGTAGGCCAGCCGCAGAGCCACGTGGCGCCGGGGGTTGGCAGAGAAGTCGAAAGCACGCGCTTTGCCTGCTTTCTTGCCCTTTTTGCTGCTGCTGGTGGTGGTGGTGGTGCTGGAATTAGATTTGCAGTGTGTGTCTTGGTTTGGGGATGGATTGGACATCAGCTCCACGTCATCTCCAGCTTCAGTCGCCTCCTGCAGCTGGGACTTGAGTTTCTCCAGGTCCGCCTCAAGCTCCTTTATTCGCTTTATCAAAGCCTCTGACATGCTGGTAAACAAAATCACACAGAGAGGATAACTTACTACAAGTGAGGTCCCCTGTCAAACAAACATACACTTAGGCCTCCATGGCAAGTTGTTAAATGATAAATGTTTACTCTTATTTTCCTTAAAAGCGTTAAAGTCAAGAACTCGTAGTTCAGAAGATGGTTAAGGTGTTGTAATATGCAGCTCGACAGCTAACGTTAGCTGGAGTCTTGGACTAGCCACATGCTACATGCACAGTCTGTTAGCTTAGCTCGTGAGGGATGTTACGTAGCGACTGGTGGTGCTGGTCGTAAAAAATATGACGATAAAACCGTTACTTTACCTTTTGATTTTTGTTTCAATATCGCCGATGGAAGTGTTTTTCTGTTCTGTTTTTCTAGGCTTATGGAGCACACGTGACTTTGCGTGGTTCGCTACAGTCGGACTAATTTCGAAACCGGACGCGTTTGCCACGGGGGGCTGCTGGGAAATGTAGTTTATGTACTTTATGAACTACTCGTTTTGCTAAATGTAGCCCTACTCAAAGAAGACTATTAATACCGACTACATTTTCTCATTAGGTCCTTTTCTATTGTCTTGTAAAATATAGTTGGACCTTTTCTGGTCAAATAGTGGTTAAACATGCACATTGAACCTCTCAACCAGAATGTATCAAGCATTTATTGAAAATATTCCCAGTAACATGAAATTTAAATATTATGACATGCCATTAAAGACCAAAAATATTTCCATTTGTGAGTGAGAAACGCACAGCAAACACAAAGCAATAATTATCCATTTTTTTCAAACATATGAGAGATGATCATGATGACACGATCATAAGAACTACATGTGTAATCTTTTTTTCAAATTTGAGAAAGAACAGGCTGGAAATGCAGATTAAAAAAGCATCAGTGGAGCAAGAAGTTGGCTGTGCTTTTCCGGGACGAGGCTTCAGCTCATGTTTTCGTAGCTTTTTTGCTTCATGCTCATACTGAAGCACACCCCCACCAGTACTCCGAGAATCTGTAACAGGTAAAAAGGTTAGAAGTTACTAGCAGCAAATTAACTCAAAGACGGGTCAGAGAGGTTCTACTCTTTCTCGGTGAAATCAAATTAATTCCAGACTCCACCACCTGGGGCAAACAGGATGAGATAGGCTGCATTATTATTCACGCCATTACTTTTCAAATGTCTGCATTACCATTGCTTACTTGCATATTTTAAAATTGTTTCAAAACTGCATACAGATTATTTTGTAAATGACTAAATCATACACGAAAATAAATGGGATGTCTTTTTTTGATATATATGTATAAAGTTTGGACAAACCTATTGTCCAACCTTTTGACTGGTATGGTATCTGCTTTATTTAAATACCTCTGAGATTCCAAGAACAACGCAGACAATAGCAACCCACAGCAGGTTTTTCATCATAAAGAGGGCGATGTTCTTGACACAACCCTGAGGAGGAGGACACGCTTGTGAAATTCTCCATTTGCTCATAGAAATCACATGAAATGGCGGAGAACTTGACATTTGATTTCCCGACAGACCTTTGAGTGTGCGTTCTCCTTGTTCTCTCCGCAGTGCTCGCTCTTCACCACGCAGCAAGAATCTGGCACGGCGTCGTGGTTTGTCCAGCTGACGCTGGTGGACCAGTCGCCGGGGCCGTCTGCACCACAGCACTTGAACTGTAACATAAGGACACAACACGAGGCCACCGCTAGTGTTTTTGGAGTCGTCTTTACGCCGTTATCAAAGCAACTCAAAGAACATGTTGGCATGTAAAAAGAGGGGAGAGATAATAATTTCCTCCACTGTTTATCAGGTGTAAATTCAATAAAAGTGGGTATTCCACAAGTGTCAATAGATGGGGATTTTAATTATATTTATTTAATTACAGATACTACAATTACACTATTTGTGGTATTCTTCAATGTAACCGCTTCTCCAACAATTTTCTATTAGCTGAATAGTTTTGCTTTAATAAGGTGGAAAATACTAGACTTGAAGGCGCCGGGTCATAGCTAACAATGCTAACAACGCTAACTGGAGTAAAATTATGACAAGCGTGCTGTTGATAGACGCTTAGAGTGTTTATGTCCCATGGTAGATGTTACCTCTCTACAGTCTTTCAATGCAAATACAAAACAGTCATATCTGCCGGTCACCTTTTGCTGAACTTCGTCAATGGCCTGTCTCTTCTCCGGGCTGAAGTCATGGATCACATTTGGTATTTTGATGTCGAAACTCTTTAGCTTTGCAAGGACAGTCTGCAGGAATAACGATTACAAGGAATGTTTTACGCATGGAAACCAGAGTTTATGCTCTTTGAAGCAATGCAATGTTTTGACCTCCACCTCAGGATTTAAGCGTCTGACCTTTTTGCCGATGAAGTAAAAGGCCGCCCCTGTGACTACCTCCAAAATGATAATGATGACCAGGATGCAGACAAACTAGTTCATAGAGAAACAGAACGATCTACTCAACTGAAAATTATAACATACACTTTCAATCAAATCTACGAGAAAACAGTCATTTAATTATGGAGCATTATGTTACGTACACAAGAGACCATAGACTTATTGTTGAAGAATGCCCCCAAATGGCCGAGCAGGGAGACGAGGGTTATTGCAACACCCACTGCAATGAGGACTATGGCGATTTTAGAAAGGCTTTGCATCAGAAAAGTGCCCAATAGCAAGTAGGTTGAGTGCTCCTTTACTCCGATGGCAATCAGGGCGACCCCAGAGACCTGAAAAAATAAATGGACACAACTAAATCATTGCAAAAAAAGAAGATTTTGTTAAAAAGAATGTCGCAGAACCACAAAATAATGAAAGCTTGTTTTCTTTAATTGTTACACTATTTTTTCCTATTTATTATGAGCATCATCAATGTTATTAATCAACTCGTGTTCCAAACACTTTCATACATTGAGAGAAAATGATCCACGTCACTTACCAGGAAAAGCAAATTGAAGAAAACGAAGCAACATTTGAAGCTGCAAAAGGAGCACATTGTTGGATATATCCAAGCTTCTACTGTGATAAAAAATAAATTGAACTTAATTTCTTTTTGGATGGAGACAAAGCAGCAGATGTTGCTGAGTGAGAGAGATGCAGACTGTGCACCAACGTGTAATTCAGTAGCGGGTGTCATATGCAAATGAACAGGTAACCAGATCAAATCTCCACTGATATGGAAACAAGGTCCCTGTTACACTCTTTGAAAAGTATCTTTTATGAAGTGTCAAAGTACAATAAAATATGGTTGACTGAATATCAGGTTACAGTCTCCTTATGCTTTACGAATGGAACATGAATGTTGCCTGAATAAAACATTGAATTTAGAGGTTGCTTGAGAGAGTGTACTTCATTTAATATAAAGTAGGATTAAACTGAGAAATGTCCAAATATAAATCCCTTTGACTGTATATACAGTGAAGCTGTCACTGCATCGCGCTGATAAAAACTCCTAATCAGCTCTTCCTTTAAGTCCCACATAAAAACATACGGGAACATCTCCCATCCGTTTCCTTCTGTCGCAGTTCAAAGCGTCTGAGACATCCGCTGGAACTTGCTTCGGGGGCTTCCTCCATCCTTCTGAGGGCCGAGCTCTTCCCCCGGAGCCTCTCCATCCAACATGAGCAGCGGCAGGAAGCCCAAACCCCGGCGCCACGTGCCGGGAAGGGACGGAGGCCTCTGGCTGCACCACGGCGATCTTCCCCCATTCTCCACGTCTCTTTGCATCCACTCACGTAGGCCCTTCGAAGGCACGTGAGGGAAATATCAGGGCAAAGCAGGCGGCAGAAACATGGTTTTACCTTTTATTTGAGTGACATACATAAATGATAATCCGTCACTTACGGCTCCTGCTCTTCTCTGGCACCAAGTCTTATCTCCTTGTTCTTATTTGCCTGCAAAGAAATTCACGCAGAAGAGCCAGAAGAGGAATATTTTAAGTGCAGTTTAGGATCGGCTCTCGTGTCATTCATTTTGTTATTTTCAGGGGTTCGTGGAGCTCTGCTGTGGACTTCACCGGGGTCTTAATCTGACTGTCTTCGGTTCGGCCGGCTCATTTCGTGTACAACCGCGTGAGGGTCCCGTTCTACAGCTTACAACGGGCATTCGGGTTGCCCTCCCCTCCCTTTGATGGAGTGATGCAGTATGGCATGCGTTTCGAGGGGGTTTGTGGGAACAGGATGAAGCAGTGCCGGCGTGTCTTGAAGTACATCATGGGAAAGGGAAATGATTAGCATAGTGTAGGAAGTCAGTTCCACAGAAAGAGAGAGACAACATTGTTCTTCCCACTTTTTTTGGCTTTTCCTGTTTTGAATTCCACAAGACTTGGTAGAGGCCTTGTATGATTTCCGTCTGATGAGGATAATTATTAAGAACAAAGGTTGGGTTTCTGGGGAACGTTATCAGTTTATTGCAAAATAATGACTTCCAAGGTCCAAATACGGTATCAAAAAAATAAAACTTCCTGCATTTAAGTTGATATAATAGTCTGTGGATCTTTTCACCTTATATGGCTCTTTTAAAGAAATGTGCCAAAGTTGAGAGGACCTGCACCCAGCGGGGGCAGCTGTTTTCTCCAGGGTGATGTCATGCATTTTGAAGCTCTTTCATTTATCATCTCCAGACATTACGGATCCAACTGCTTGTTTAGTTTGCTTGGATGCTGCATTTTCTTTGCATGTGCATTTTTAAAATGAATTATCAGACGGGTAAAACTGCCGCGTTCCCTTACACTGGTCTTATTTACTGCTCGAGCCGCTTGTGTGTAAACTGACTTTATGACTTTTCTCTACTTCCAAGTGGACAGGGCGAGTCCGTCAGCCAGTAAACAGCTTCGCTCCATATCTGGTCCATCAATCAGCCTGCTCTCGGGGGGCCGGGGGACATGTTTGTGGTCTGAAGTAAATGATGTGCCTCCCACCGTATGGCACTACTTACACATTCCAGTCCAAGGGTCTGTGTGCTCACATTCCTGTCCTGACCACTATCGGGGGACAACGCGTCCATCTGAAACCGCAACGCGCAACACGTTTGTTCGCGGGTACATTTTAGAAAACTATATCTTCCACTTTTATTGTAAACACACAATGTTACACAACAATCATTTGTTTGTCTTAATATCTAATCAGCCACAAATGCATCACCTGTTGTTTAGTTTTGTTCATTTTGAACAAACACACACAATAACAGTCCCTCCCGTTCTTATTAGCACATACAAAAAAGTTAATAAGCATAATAATATTATAAAAAGTAAAAATGAATAGTCTTAAATTTACAGATGTAGTAGACAAAATTGACTGAATAACGTATTGGTTCAGCTGATTGAGCTTTATAAGTGATATAATTTCACCAACAAAACTAATACTTCCATAAGCACAATAAGAGACAAATGCTCATAGAAGACTATGTAAATAGTGAACTGTCAAAGTCAAAGCACTTGAGTGCTACCTGTATAGTAACTGTATAGTAACAGAGAAAACATCTGTCAACTATCTTCACTTGCTTTGAATGTTGATAAGAGAAAACCAGTCTGCAGTCGACGAACGTGCAACAAAAGGAAAACGAGAGCGCACACTGGCGGCACACCCAGCCAGCCACCATATCTATTCCCATCTAAGTAGAATTAAAGGTGTCACACGGTCCCACCTCCCTTCGAAGAAACTCAAGCCCTGGAAATGAAAAAAAAAATCTCCCTTCAGTGATTTCTCCCCCATGTTGTGTGTCGCACAGCGGCTGATGATCACACACACACACACACACAGAAAGCGGCTCTACAGGCTCCTCTTCATTCCTGTGTTGCCTCTGGCACTGTTGCTCAACCCAACCGAGTGTTTGAATGGAGAGTGTGTTAGCAGAGGGGTAAAATGTCTAAAAAAAGCCAAAAGAACGCGTAAGTGCGTCCTGAGAGGAGGAGCCGTTTTTCCTTTTTCACGAGGAGAGCCAGCAGGTAAAAGATGCTTTTTATACTTTGTCTCTGACGTTTCCTTTATCCACCTCGGCCCCCTCTGTCACTCTTCCAGAGAGGCTGTTGTTGTCTCTCCTCGCACGTTTCCTGACTCTCCCCTTTGCTTGTTTTCCATGGAATGTGTCTCTCTCCCTCCGTTCTCCCATGTGCATCGGGCCGGCGGGGGCCCGGACATGTGTGCTTTTAATTGCCGTTCCGATAATAAAAAATAAAAAAAAGACCCTTTTCCTGGGAACTGACGGGGGCCGAGGGTGGGTCGTGATTTCAGAGGCTCCTCCTGTCGGCACGTGCGAATGCATGAGCTTTACAGTCCGAGCCCACCGCAGAGGGGAGGCGCAGGCCTGACTGATGGGTGGCTGTTCCACTTCTACTCAGTGATGGATCCGGAAGGCGGGAACCCAAAGACCTTCGTGTCTACTTTTCGTTTGGCCCTCAAGCCTCAGGCCAGAAGGGCCCGCGTGGAGACGCGAAGAGAAGATGGACCGGAGGCCACTAAGGGGACGTCCGCGGGAAACGAAAAACTGGGAGTCTCATCAGCAGCAGGTAAAGACCCGGAGAACAGGTGAAAAGTGGCCTTTTTGATGTGTGCTGGAATCTATTTATAACGTTTGCCAAACTTGCACCTCTTCTCAAGCCTCATTTCCCTGCAGCCCTGATGCTTCCTCTCACGTCTGTAACTCGAGTCCTTGCGGACATTGCGAGAGTGAATCAGGGGAACCACAAACACTGGGAAAGGTTATACTGCACACGTATGTTACAGTTAGCCCCGATATTAGCGAGGGAGCGGCACTACATGTCACACGATTATTCCTATATATCTTTTTACTTGTAGTTCCTGCTGTCAGAAATATCTTGGAGGCACTCGTGGGAGTGACATACAAACATGTTGAGATGGGAAAGTCTCGCAAACACCACTAACTGGACTAACCAACGCAGCAGATACAGCGCCGAGTAACTGATTAACCTGAACACGATGCTGCTCTGCCTGGAGGCAAAGCAGAGGGGGGAGGGGGATGAACAAACATATTGGCCTCCACATGACGGGGCATTTGAAGTCTGTCTACTCTTTGATCGGTTTCATCACGTCTGATGACTTCTCCGCGTGGTCGGCAAAAAATCAAGCCCTGTTCCTTCCTCTACCCCTCCCCCTCCGCTCAGGCTCCAGGCCGGCAAACGTCCAGGCGCTCGCGGCGCCTCACTTCAGCGAAGCCCTCCGGGAGTGTTCAGTCCGCGAAGGAAGGGATGCTTCTTTTCAAGGTGTCGTCACGGGAAGTCGACCTCTGAGCGTTTCCTGGCTGCACAATGGTGAGTGTGCGATTACCAAAACGAATGTCCCCCTCCCCCCCCCCCATCACGAGGAAGGGTCGAGCCAAAAAGGTCCCGCGTTCAGAAGGCTGTTCGATACTACTCCTTTTCGTAGGGAAGAGGGTGCGCTCGAGAAATACTTCCTTCCAAAATGGCGTCGCCAGTCTGACTCTGACGCAGTGCTCACGCGGCGATGCCGGGACGTACACCTGCGAGGCCGAGAATACCGCCGGGAAGCGGTCGAGCAGCGCCGTGTTACATATCACAGGTAAAGCACGGTAAAACCTCACCTCACACACACCTGGAACACAACCTGTCCTTGAAGGGTTGGCATTTACCTGATCTGTGTACAGTAAACTGTTTCTTCTTGGTTTCTGATAACAGAAACAAAGAAAATCCTCGGAATGAGCAGCCGTGACCTGCACAGTGAAGCCACATGCCGGCTTGGGTCACCCGAAAGCATTGAATTATCTTCAGCTTCTGAGGAGAGACGCCAGCGCAGTGAGGAAGAAGACAAAGGTACATTATTATTATTATTTTAAGCTCACTGTTTTTAAATCACACTTCCTGTCTTTCTGCTTTTCTTCTTAAGAACATAAAATGTCTGTACAAATAATGTAAATGAATCAGTTTGATTTAAATGACACACATTTTGTGTGCACATGAGCGGATCCTCCCTTGTCATTCGAGAGTTGTGCATTGGCACTCTGTTGAGTTCACTGCCCCTGCAACCAAACATGACTGCTCACATGTGATTGGTCAGATGCATCTTAAACCTGCCCATAGTAGCAAACACACCTATAAATCCACTTTCTTCTTCAGCGTCTGCTGCACACCTTCAAACAAAAGTCTCCTCTCGTGCAGGTGAGTCGGGAGCAGCGTGTAAAGCGTGACATTCATTGCGCTTCGTGTTGTTGCTGTTAAAAAAACAGTTCTGCTTCCCTCCAGGACCTCCTGTGGAGTTTGTAGACCCGCCGGAGCAGGTGGAGGTTCGAGTCGGGGAGCAGGCCCGACTACGCTGCGCGTTCAAGAGCAGCTCCGTCCCCGTGGCCTGCTGCTGGATTTACAAAAAAAACAAGGTGATGCCAGTCCCCGTGCTTGTTGTTGTGGTTGGATGCGTTGCATTGGATTCTCACATTGATATTTTCCTTGGCATGTGCCTCCTCCTCCTCCTCCTCAGGTGGTGGCCGCGGGGCCGAGGATCTCCGTCCAGAGCAGTGAGACGCAGAGCGTCGTGGAGATCTCGCGGGCCTGCCCGGAGGACACCGGCTCGTACACCGTCGTAGTGCGAACCGTGCACGGCTCCGCTCAGCACACCATCCCGCTCAGCGTCATTGGTAAGACTGGCTTTGGACTGGCGTGAGTGCAGGTGAAACCTTCCGAAAAAAAGAGGCCCAAATGGTGCTAGTTAGTTCTTGGATTTACCCTCAGACCGGCCCGCCCCACCAGCATCCCAACCCGTCGTTTCCCAGCTGTGCACCGAGTCGCTGGTCCTCTCCTGGACGGGTCCCAGCTACGACGGAGGCACGGCCGTGCTGGGCTACAAGGTGGAGGTCCGGGAGGAGCAGGACGAGCCCGAGAGCTGGACCGTGGCAACCAGTCTTTGTAAAAACACATCCTACCACATCCGCTCGGGCCTCAGGCCTCTGGGTAGGTACCGCTTCCGCGTCAGAGCCTACAACGCCGCAGGGGTCAGCGAACCAAGCCAGGAGTCCCAGTGGGTCACGATGGCGACTAAAAGTAAGAATAAAATTGTGTATGTATAAAATGTTTGCATGGATTGATGTGGTTTTGTTTACATGAGTGTATTTTATGTTAGAAGAAGAAAAGAAGAAGAAGGAAGAGTCCGAGTCGTACATCACAGTGACCATTGACACCAAAAACAAGGTCAAAGACTTCTACAATGTGCATGAGAAGCTGGGAGTGTAAGCATGGACTTAGTATTTCAAACAAACTTAACAGTTTTACAATACAGTCGGACAGTACAGTATTTATTTTAATTTTTTCAAATGAATTGATAACTGCCGTTGAGGTAAAGTTTTGTTTTTTGGTTTTTTTGGCTTGGACATTTCCAGTGGAAAGTTTGGCCAGGTGTTCCGGATGTCCCACAAAGAAACTGGTCACGTGGTCGCGGGGAAGTTCTACCGAGCCCGAACCTCCAAGGAGAGAGCCGCTGCTCGCAAAGAGATGGCGCTGATGAACCGTCTTCACCACCCGAAGCTGGTCCAGTGCCTGGCTGCCTTTGAAACGCGCCCCGAGGTGGTCATGGTCTTGGAGTAGTAAGTAATGGAGGAGTGGAAAGGCGACTTTGATCTGGTTTCATCTGCTGATGATGCGAGGTGACTGCAGCAATAGTGAGTGGCTTATTTTCTCTGCCCAGTATCGCAGGCGGGGAGCTCTTCGAGCGCATCGTCGACGACAACTTTGAGCACACGGAGCCCACCAGCGCCCGCTACATGCAGCAGATCCTGGAGGGCATGCAGTACGTTCACAAGCAGAACATCGTCCACCTGGACCTCAAACCGGAGAACATCGTCTGTGTGGACACCACTGGTACTCGGATCAAGATCATAGACTTTGGCTTGGCCAGTGAACTGGGTGAGTTGGCCCAGATTTGTAGAAAGGGTCTAAAGTCTTAACGAGCCATTTTCATTTTCAATTTTTCTGATTTCTCGAACCCCTGAATGCAAGTGTCCCGAAAAGGTCAACACTGGGTCACTCGTTTTAATTCATGGAGAAAAAGAAGCAAAGATAACATCAAGGCGTATCTTCCGAATTCCTATACAGAGTCTTTAAATACACAAACATTTCGACTCCAATCCGATCCGGGAAGTTCATTTGGTAACGTTCCATTAACTGCCTCTCCAGACTCGACTCGCCTATTTAGAGATGACTGCCGGCATGCAGGGTGATATTATACGTTGATTTGCATGTTTTTCAGAGAAGGGAAAACCTTTACTGGTGATGCACGGCACGCCGGAGTTTGTGGCCCCTGAAGTGATCGGCTATGAGCCTGTGGGGCTGGAGACCGACATGTGGAGCATCGGAGTCATCTGCTTCATCTTGTAAGTTGAAGAAAGGCTGTGGTGGTTGTTGTGGGCGACCAAAGTTAACACAAATGAAACAGTGGATACGGTGGATGTTTGACCAAGTGTGGGACAAACGAAAGAACTTGAATTCACATACATGGTGGTTCTGGTGCCACCTTCTGTTGGCGGTTAATTACTACAATCTCTCCACAGCAACATTGGAATTCCGAACTAATGGGTACAAATATGTTCTCTACTATGACAGAATATATTTTAATTTTGGAATTGTTCTGCGATTTAGGCTCAGTGGAGAATCTCCCTTCCAGGGGAACAGCGATAATGAGACTTTGGCTCTTGTGACTGCCGCCCAATTTGAGTTTGACCAGGAGAGTTTTGAGGACATCTCTGATGATGCTAAAGACTTTATCGGAAACCTCCTGAAGAAAGACCGCAGGTTGGTCCGTTTGCCCTCTTTATCTTTTTTTTACGATTACAACCTAATATGATGAATGTGCTCACAAACCGCTTGGATTAAAGTACCCAGAACTATGAGTATTCTCTCCAGCAGATAATGTTTCAGCACTTATGAGCACAGTCTATGTGACGTTTCCTACCATCTGCCAAAAAAGCGTGTTGGCACGTTCTACAGCCTTTTGCTTCTCCCTGTAGATGCAGGTTGTCCTGTGCCGAGGCCCTCGCCCACCCTTGGATGGCCTCTTTCACCCCGATGAACCGCAGACCCACCAAGTCCCTCAATAAGGGGAAGATGAAACGCTTTCTGGCCAGGCGCAAGTGGAAGGTAATGCTGTGGCTGATGGATGAACCATTTTCTTATCAATGGCTCCCTGGGATGAACTTTCAATCCTTTGTCCCATTTAGACCTCAAGCTTGGTTAGTGTGGTTTGTCATCCAGTGCCATTTGTCTTTTTTTTTTTTTACTTCCAGAAAACTGGTAAGGCTGTTTTGGCCCTGCAGCGGATGGCTAATCTCTCAAACAGGCCAGACTCTCCTGGCAGCTCCTCAGAGGGTAAGACCGATAAAAAGACACACACACACACACACTGCCCTCCAATGTCCTGGGGCAACATGCATATGGCAGATGACTCAGTTTCCGATTGTCACTTCACGTTTACCCTTTTGTGATCTGCAAAGCCTCGTTTCTGTTTTTATTCTTCATCATCGTCCCCTCTCATGCAGAGCCAGGCTGGAGCCAAGAGGCAGAGGAGGCCATCCAGTCTCTGGATAAGCAGCTTCAGAGGGAGCCTCGCTTCCAGCAGGTCCTGAAGGACACCACCCTGCCCAGAGGAGGGACGGCTCGGCTTACGTGTCTCGTCAACGGTACAGTGTGACACTGACGTGGTGTTTTTCATTTAAATGAAGGAAAATGTGGTCTGAAAGGCTGTGATTATAGAAATGGACCTTAACGGCAAACTGCTCCCTTTAAACTTAGTTTAGAACAGCTTCATACAAACGATTTTTTATAGAATATTGAACTGGATTTTATGCTTCTGATTTATGAAATGTTTAATTTTCATCTCAATCCCAGGTTACCCGCGGCCGGAAACTAAGTGGCTGCAGAATGAGAAGCCGGTATCCGGGTCGTGCAGAGCGACCGTGGAGCAGCACGAAGACGGGCTCTGCTCTCTGGTTCTGGCCGAGCTGCAGGCGTCTGACTCGGGGGTTTATGTGTGCAGGGCCAGCAACCCGCTGGGGGAAGCAATGTGCTCGGCCAAACTGACAGTGGAGATGTGACCGTTCCTTCATTCGCAAAAGGAGACTCGTGGGGGGGGGGGGGGGGCCTGGATTCGGTCCGTTGTTCACTAGCACATAAAAGGCTGAATAAACATAATTTAAAGTCAAAAGGTCCACTTCATCATGCGGGTCTGATAACGGGGGTTCAGACACCCAGAAATCTTTTTTTTTTTTTTATAGCATCCAGCTACTCGTGCAAATGAGTAGTTTGCATGTTAAGCGATCAATGTACAGTGTTTTGTTACATAGAAACCAGGCGATATTATGACACGGTCCACTCAAAGTCGCATGAAAATTGTATGTTTTTACACATTTAAAATGTTGTTTATATAACAGTTTTACACCATTAAAGGGTCAACATAGGATATATTTTTGGTGGTTCAAAAATTGTATTTTTACAAAAACCTACATCCCTTAAACTAATGCCAAATAAAGTTTATGGACTCTCAACTCTTCAGTTGCTCTTGAAATTCAGGGGAATATTTAAAAGGAGGGACTGGGTAAAGTATTTTTACAATTGTCAAGTCTCATTTCTCACCACTTTAGCTTTTCCAGATATGCTCCTAAATGAGTGAGCGTGTTCTTGGAGCGTAGTGCAAGATTACAACACACATTTATTGATTTTAAAGTCCGAAAAGAAATATTTCACTGCAGCTTAATACATTCTTTAATTAGTCAATGTACAGTTTTGCTCTCATTATTCCGCACAAAGTGTACTGCCATGTGAAAACTGATTACAAAATATTCTAATCTTCACATAAATATAATGTAGCATGTTTAGTAATTTACAATTTCTCACAAAATAATTACACTGAATTTGTTACGATATTCTCCAACCCCAAAACGACAATGCAATCTTATGATTTAACAGTAACAACTAGTACAGTTAAGGTTATGGTACCTTTTTTGCTCTTACAATTTAATTTGTTTATGGTACATTCATGTTAATTATACTTCAAGAGCACAATCTACCCACAATATAAGACTTTGTAGAGGTCTTTATTTTAAAAAAGCATGCCATTCATAGAAAAACAAACTTTCCATTCTAATGATTTGACTAAATTTAATCCCACTCATGAATTTGAGCTTTCAACATTTTTGTTGGGGATAGATTATCACAATCTCCAATTTTCCTTAATCCATTAGTTTGAACTAAGCACGTGAACATAAAACTAGTTTTAAAAACCTGTGGAAACTCATTCAGGCACCGGGTCTTTGTACACGAAGCCAGAACGGCCGTCGGGCTGCACCGGCACAAAGGTCTCTTACTGCGGATCAGTCACTTGTGTGCACGGCTCACTGCCGAGACGACGTGGACACGTGTCCCTCTGGTTTCGGCTGTATCCTCTTTTGAAGGAGATTCCAAGCTTTTAGTACCTTCAAAATAAAAGCGGGTTGCTGGAGTGAAAACATTTTTACTCAAGCATCATACGTTTTCATGCCGTGCAGACGTGTAGCCCCTCTGCTAAAGGCCTGCCATGTCTCTGACCTGTTTCCGCGTGACCTCTGGCTCCCACAGCGTGCTCAGGACCACGTTGGCATGCGCCACTTGCTCGCCGTTGGACCACTGGCTCCGCAGACGGCGCAGGGCATCTTCTGTGGTCAAACCGTCTCGCTCCGATATCCTTACCACCGCCTGACAGGGAGCGGTGAATTCCGATTACAAGTTGAAGCGTTTATCGTGTTAAAGCCGGTGTGTGAAGCATCCCATTGTTGCCTTGAGGTCTGCGAGCCGAAGCATATTACCTCCTCCTCAGGGATGACAGTGACCCAGACCTCGTGCACCATGCGCGCCCAGCCGGCCTCCTGGAGAACGGCCGCATCCAACACGCACACCTGCTCGCCTGCAAAACGATCACACGGTGTGTGTGTGTGTTTGTGTACACGTGACACAGTGGGAGAAAGGTTGGGGAAGGAAACGAGATGGATGAGCAACACGGGACGGAAAACACAACCTATTTCCTCGAATACATGCGGAGTTCTAAGATTAATAGATTTAAGAGGTTCATAGAATACCTTCCTCTCTGGCTCGGCTGATTCTTTTCTCCACCAGAAGTGCGATCTCAGGCCACACAATGTCTGTTAGGGCTTTTAACCGCTCCTGCGTAAAAAAAAAAAACCAGGACCTTTGATGACCTGTCTGTACTCAGTGGTTTGTTCCATGTGTTGTACATTTGTCCAATTACCTGGTTTCCAAAAACCTTTCCTCCTAAAGCACGTCTGTTGATGGTTTTATCTTCGTTCAGAAGATCTAAAAAGAGACAAAAGGAAAATGCAGCATAACATTTAACATAAAAATAAGAATGCAAAGATGGTACCATGGTCTTAGATCCATGATTTGCGTGTGAGATTGAGACAGGAGATGAAACAGCTTTGACCACAGCACAAATCTGTCCCAATGCACACAAAGGGTTCCTCACCCGACCCAAATTCCTCCAGCACTCTGTGATAGGCGCCGGTGCCCGCCTGGTACACCTCATGGCCCAGCTTGTCACAGTCGATCCGGACGGCACCCAAAGCCTCCATCTGCCGGGCGATGGAGCTCTTCCCGCTGCCGCTGCCTCCGGTCAGGCCGATGACGTACGGGCGCGGAGCGAGGTGGGACGTGTCCTAGTGCGGAGTAAAGAGGAGACCCACGGGTGAGGAGATCAGACAACACTGCAGCGCTGTGCAGATGTTGGCAGGGTAAGAGTTGGGTGGAATGGGATGATGGGACGTTAATACAGCTACTAAAACCAGTCGGGCCTGCTCAGAGCTGCTCTCGGTGCTCGCTGCACGAGAGCTCACTGTTCCTCTGATAACAGAATCAGTGGTTTCTAGCCAAAGAACATGCGCAAATAATAGCGTTCATTTCAGGTCATTTCTTTTTCTGCGAACATGTCGACTAATAAAGTGGTCGTCATTCTGCGCTCAGCACTTTAAAAAGACAATGAACTTTGGCCTAAGCTGGAAAGAAAAGCGGTTACTTTTTTACTTGAATAACGAGGCTCATTTTCAGTTAAACATTAAGAGGTTGCTCAAGAGGGACCTGTGTGTTCTGTATGGAACATTCTCATCTGCTCAAAGGCTGCGACAAGACGAGCTACGCGTTGTGCTTCAGTGAGTGAAAAAAAAAAAGGTCCACAGGAAGGAAAGGTACTTCATCTTTATGCATTTAATATATCTAATAGTTTTCTATTAATTTCTTTTAATTACCTACTTTAGGTGGGGTGAGGAGGGTGCCTAGGAGTCGAGATCGTAGACTGGAGGAGCTGATCTTCTCCTCTTCAGTCTCCGAGTGGTGGGCATCTTTAAGCAACTGGATTTCGTGGAGGACGAGCGGAGGAAAACCCTGTTTTAGGAAGCAGAGAACACAAAAAATATGTACACGCGGACTAGGATCTGGAAAAACGGATGGATTAAAATAGTTATTAATTAGAATTCTGTCATAGACAATAGTTATACTTCTATTAAAGACAATAACAACAACACAAATAGCTCAGTATAATTAATTTGGTCACTTTTTGTTTGCGCGATTGAAGTATTCAAAAACAGGAAAATACGGGACCCGCATCTGCAACTTCCCGACTTACGTTCTCAATGCGTTTCTTGTTGACGGCCTCGCCTCCCCTTCTGGTCTCCTCGCTGACCACGATGCACTGCAGCAAGGGGTCCACCACAGAAACTCCATAGGGGTCTTCAAGGGGCATGATCTTCACCTGCAGTGAGGGTTTGATGTCCTGCAGGAACTCCTGTACTCTCTGGGCCCGCAGAGCGTACGGCTCCACCAGCTCCCTCAGCACTTTCTCTTAAGCGGAGGAAAAGAAAAAAAAAAAAAGAATGTTAGGGAGGTGCTGCCTTCAGATTGTGGACCGTGGAAAATATCGCAGGAATACGCACTCCTAAAATAGAATTCAAGAAAAAAGGACGACTCACTTTTAAGCATCGCTCGGTCACACACACACACGAGGAACCTCCTGCTGGCCAGCAGGCAGGAGATGTTGAGCAGCGTCCGGTGGGCCCCGTGGAGACGGTCAAACGTGCCCCCCACCACCACGTCACTGTAGGTCTGCAGGACCTCTGCCTTTTCTTCCGGCTCTTGTGGCCCGTCCTCGTTCTCCTGCAGCTCTGCGAGCTGCGGGTGGAGCAGCACGGAGGGCAGGCCCGGGCTGCAGACGTAGCAGTGGCCCGTGTAGCTCTGCAGACACTGCGTGACCTGACGGGACTGACCCGGGTCCTGCAGGGGGAAGTCTGTCAGCACCACCTCCGGGGAGTGAGACAGAGATTGCGGCGTGGGGAAGGGGCAGCAGTTGGGGGCCGCGGTCCCGCCGCACGGGGCCGGCTGAGCGCGGACGTTTGTCAGCAGAACACGAACGTCCAGGTGGCCGCACACGTCGGCGGCGTTGCTGTAAAGGCGGGAAATGATGGTGGACAGGTCCACCGCCGGCGGAATGAAGACTGCCCGAGGCTGGCTCCCGTTTCCCAGGTTAAGCCCCGGGTGGAGGTGGACGTAGAGCGTGCGCTCGACGAGCTGAGCGGCCGAGCTGAGCACCGGGGCGATGCGCAGGGGGAGGGTTTGGAGAGGGGACGTCAGCACAAGGATGCCCGTGCTGAACATGGACATTTTACCGGCTGACATCACAATGAAACCGCAAACGTCACGGTATCTGTCGGCTCACTGGAGGGGAGAGAAAGTGCAAGAAAAGTCCAAAATTAACAATTATCCAATTTTATTGTTGATATCTGCAGTGGGAGATGTTGCTTTGGTGGTGCTATAAAGTCTGAAAAGTTAGAAAACCTTTGATGTTGATGAAATACTTATTGCTTGACATGCAAAGCCTTGTTCTTAAAAAGTACCATTCAAACTACCTCATTAAAAGACTGGCGAGGATGTGACTGGGAAAGAGTAGACAAGACTGGATCTGCCACACGGCTCACTGGACTTAAAATATAGTGACATACAGATTATATTTTGTCAATTGCATAAACTTGTCGTTTGTAATTGTCCATCCAACCCGATGATGACGTCACTCATTCCTTACACTGTAACGAGCCCACACGATCACATTTACATCTAAAGGAACTTCTCAACTCTTTGGAGGTGAAGTAGCTTCAAACGTGTGCATGACAACTTTAAAAAAAAGTGGTCACGTGATAATTGAGTAAATATCAGAACGTGTGCTTGCGATTAAAGTTATCTCTGCTCCTCATTCAGCTTCCCATCAGATTCCGTTTCATCACCTGACGAAACGGAATCTGATCCACATTTTGTAACTACGACTTCTTGCTAGCCAGCCAGCATTTTGTTTTTTTTTCAGCTTTGCAAAAAACGTTTACAGTTAGAGCGCAGTGCGAAGTGTCACTGATGAACCTTCGAAGTCGTGACGTTAGCTAGCTAGCCACATAGTACGACCATCACATTGCCTGTAAATAACGCACGGAAAATATTCAACAGAGTGAAATTTGAGACGGGTAAAAAATACGTTCCTCGTTGTTAACCGTGATTAGATATAACGCAGCAGTCTGGGTATCATTACAGACAAAATTCGGGACGTCCCGCTTCAACACGGAGCATTTTCAAATTGGGTTAGAAGCGACAATCTGGCACCTAATTAGGCAACCTCGCGATGCAACATAACGTTACCTTTGTGGAAGTGTGGAGCGGATGAATCGCGCACTACAACGTGTGTGTAGAAGTCCAAACATCTACTGAATAAATCCCTTCCCTGATAATCTTCAACGAGGGGCTGTCTTGTCTTGTTCAGTCGGGTCAAAATAGCTGGGAAAAGCGCACCCGCTGGCGAAAGTCACTCACACAGGAACAGCGTTGGGGTGTCACGTGATATGTTGTGTATGCACGCTGATTGGTTTAGAGGGGAAACTGGGACGCCTGGGAAACACAAGCCATTTAAACGGGGAGGAACCCGTCGCTGAATTCATCCTGCAGCTCTCACAGTTGTGACTTTATTTTAGTGCATTAGCACTAAGACTGGTTTTGGGGTTCGGGTCCTTGACTCAACGAATGAATTATATAAAGAACGAATTGCCTGGTGACGAAAGTGTATTTGGAAAATCCTCTGAACTCTCACGCGTTTTGATTCTCACTTGTTTTCTTTTACAAAAAATGTACAAACTGTACTTTATTCTATTTTAACACCTGTAAAGATAAGACAATCTCACTAATTGCTCCCCCACAGATCTAACAAATGATATCCTAACCAGATGAGGTTCAATCAAACAGCAGGCGTACCTTTGAGAAGTGACAGCAAAGTGGATACTAGAATGACAACCTGAAGCCTTTAGTTTCAGAGGAACTGCCTATTCATGTTTGAGGTTCTCGGGTGGTGCCTTACCACTCATTGCCTTACATACTCATTGAATGAAAGTTTGTCATGCAAACATTTGGTAACAAGTCCTACCTTACATGCTCAGCCCTCCGCATATATTTCATCTGACATAAGACACCACCTCCCAAAAAATGATTGAAAAGCTGTAATGGTGTATCAGGAGTTTGGGTCAACATATGAACACTTTTCCTATTGCACATACATGTGGTTAGTGAAAGGGGATAACCAGATATGTGAATGAACATTTTCTTAAAACGAACTAACAACCTGCTGCCAAACCTGTAAACATAACATGCATATGAACTTGTTTGAAACACAAAAAAATTAATGTTTTAAATTAGGCTCCTGAATTGATATGCATTCCAAAATGATGGTTTATAATAATCACAAGGATAAATAAAGGCAAACAGCGGAGGATTTTTTTAATTTTCAATGTATAGTTTGAGGCCAACACATTTTACAAAAAATAATAAAGACAAATAAAGTGTTATCTCCATACGTTAGAAAGAGTTGCATGAAGAAGTCCCGGGGGTTAGCTGGGCAGAGGCATTGCATAACTAGCAGGAACAGACCACAACAAAAGGTAAAAACGACAAATTCAAGTAAAAAGTCATGTAATTACAATGAAGTCACAATAAAGCCTAGTGGCAATTCTTGGAAAATTAAGACTCTTGCTGGGTTTCACTTTTGGTCTGAGGAGTCAAACTGAAGCCGTGGGACCTGTCCCTCTTGTGAACTCTGTTGTCTTCTTCAAGACATGACAGCTAATGAACAATGTTGTCTTTAAAAAATTCAAGTTGGTATTTGTATGAGAAATTCAAAGTATGAAATTCTGGATGATGAGGCTGCAGCTTGAAGCGTGACATCTTCAATGGATTTATGGATGTGTGAACACGGACGGACACATTTTGTTCAGTTTAACTCCCCCACTCTACATAAAGCCACATTTATTAATTTGCTTTCTTATCGCTGGTGCTATCGCTGGCAGCTGTGTCATAATGGCACTTTTCCACGCATCGCCTCGGAAACCACCCCCTTACACGCTCTCTACCTGAAAGCCACAACAGAAAGAAAATGATCTGTTACACACTTGTTTTGATGATTTAGAAAAATAAAAAAAATGTAAAGTATTTCAAACAAGTTCTGACCGCTATTATGCTCCTCCTTCAAAACTTTGTCTCCATACATCCACCATCTAGAGAAAGAAAAACATTAATTAGCTGAATTCTAATGGACAAAAATAATGCATCCCTCATGTATTCAAAGTAAATCCTCCATTGAATGCTCAACCATCCAGACTTCTAGACCCGAGGTTTTCCAAGTCAGAGGTAACAAGCTTTGTCCCACTTCAGTTTACTTGCTTACTTTGACTCAATTCCTGGATTCACATGAAGACACGTGATCTTGTTATCTTATAGAAACTCACTTTGTGCCTCGAGTGGCCAGGATGGTGTCACCCTTGTTGAGGGGGATCCTGGGCTCCTCTGTGCAGGGGGTTCTGAAGAAGGTTTGGAAACCTTTGCTCAGAGGGCAGCATGCTCCGTTGTAGTCTTCCACTGCCCGGTACTGGACCTGCTAGTCGAGGCATACAAAATAGCTGGTTATTCTACTACCCCGAACATAAATTCAGACTACACACTTGCTTATATAAAGTTGTGTTTTTTTTGGTCTTCATACATTTGACAACATATCTGACAGTTTGCACTCCACATAAGTGTGTTTTATGCACAGCCACTAGCGTTTGTTGCATGAAAACAAATCTTAACCCTAAAACACCTTTCTCTAAAGGTCCCACACATTCCAGCTGGCCCAGGCCATGTCGTGAATAATCACCACATTGATGTGACAAGACGGTTCTGACAGGTACTTACACTTCTCACTCGCTTATCAGCTTTCTGCTTCAGTTGTTCAATCTGTTTAAAGAGGAAGAAGACAATTAGCATCCCTGTTGTTTGACAACGTATGTTTACATTGCAACAGGAAAAGCACTGCAACAAGAAAAAGAGCAACTTCTGCTTTTCAGCTTTTAAAACATTCTAAAAGTTAAAGTTAATTTATCACTCAACATACAAAAGAAGAAGAGTATCAGAAGAATCAAAAACAGCATTGCAGCAAAATGCATCACCCAAGTTACCCAACAGCAACAAATTGAACCTACAGTTAAGGTGTGCTGGTGACACTTGGGATGAACTGGCCATTCAATGCCATCACCCTTGGGCGTCCCTGACCACGTGAAGACTTGCTTGAAGTTCAGCCAGCGGGTGCCGAGGTCGTAAGGGAAGGTGAAGTCCTCCCCGGTTTGGTAGTGCTGTATTCTGTCTTTGGCCTAGTGGAATACACAGAGAATGGTTGTGTGCGCATGTGTTAATGGGATTGTGTGGGCGCGCTGGTGTCAACATTCTGTAATCAGCTCGCTCCATTGTGCGACAGATGATCCTTGATTTGTGTGAATTAATCATAAATGTGACCATTTCAATTTACAGCACTTTGACAATGAAGTGTTAAAAAAACAGTAAATTATAAATCTGAATATAATATATGAATTATAAAAAAGCCCTTTGACATCCAAGATTTTATTCAGTATCAACAAATGAAAAAAAAGAAAAAAAAAAGGTACCCCATCATAAATGTAATCATAAAAGACAAAATTTCATCACAAGACAAAGAAATCCAATCAGACATCCTGACCTTTTCCTCGATCCAGGATTCGATCGAAGTCTTATTTCGAAGGATGACTTTCATCTGAAAAAGACACACTATTTCAATATAATAAATGGTTGGCTTTGAATGGTTAATGCCTAAATGGCATAGATAAATATCCAGCAAAACCAACAGCTTGTGTACATTATAAACCCAAATGAAAAAATGTACCTGTATGAAAAACAGCATGCCAACGGCAATAGTGGTGCCCAGTGCCAAGCCTAAGGCAAAGAGTGATGCAGCAAAGGCGGGCACACTGAATGGCATGAGGGGCTGGAATTGACGCACAGCGCTCATGTCGATCTTCACCGTGCTCCACCCAAATGATATCTGCAGTGAGGAAACAGAAAACAGCTTGACAATTGTAGACATCAGTAGCAAATGATAACAGCTGTGGTGATAATAAAGCGTCAGAAATCACGGAAGACTGCCGACCCTTTCATAGAGCTGCGTGTACATGGTCATAATGAAGATGATGGCAGCGTGGGAGCAGCCCAGTGGAGCCAGCAGCAAGAAGCTGGTGAAGTAGGCGTGGTTCATGTGGCCGCAGCAGTTGTTGATCCAGGGGCAATGGTGGTCCATCTTCATCACGCACCTGGATGAGGGGGGGTGGCAGAGGAGGAGTAGGGGGGAATTAGCTGGTTGTTTGGGAGGACAAGAAGAGTCACGGGTTCCTTAACAAATTTAACACCACATAATAGATTATGTCATGTGTCGTTTTGCAGCCTACGAAGTGTCCAACAGATTTCACAGCACTGCTTGGGCAGAAAAAAAAAAACATGCACAAGTCAGTTCCAGCTTGGTGTGCCAGAAATACCTCTGTGATTTTTCTAGCCGAGGTAGAACTGTCTCTGTGTGCTTTCCATTTAACAAAGATGGGAGAAAACATGACCTTGCTTTAGTAATAAATGTAGCTACCTGTTACACTTGCGACAATGGTGGGACCTGGGGGCCTTGTATCCTTGGCAAACGCTACAATACTGGAGGTACTGGGCATCCTGTTGACGCTCCTGTTTAGGGATGAACACATGAGTTAAATCTGTCCAATGATTAATGGTTTAATTCTAACTTTAAGTTGCGATTTTGCAGACATGCTTCCAAACTGTTATTTAAGATAAATACAATTACAAACACCAATGACAAATGTCATCATCCTAATTAGCTTTGTTGCAAATCCTTACTGGTTTCCAGCCGAGAGGAATGTATCCAGGTCCAACAAACATAGCATTGAAGTAGTTGTAGAGGATGAGGACAGTCCAGTTGAGAAGCATAATGAAGTTGATGCTACCTCCTGTAGTGTCTAGTGGCCAGTACCAGATAATGGAATCCACAATTGCCATCGTGGAGCATATAACAATGACAGACAGGGCTATGATTGGACCCCAGTGGCACAATCTACGAACCTCATGGAGGTTCTGAAATGTCACAAAGGTTGACAGGAAATTCATCTTTTAGCCGAAAGGTAAGTTGTAGTATTTTGGTTGTGTTCCTGCAATGTATTGACCGAACTTTTTTCCCCTCAGCTATTTTGCAAAGTCAGCGGTGCAGATGATGCACATCTTTTTTCTCGTCTTCTGAGTACCCAGCAGCTGGCCTGGTCTTGGGTCACTGGGGCTCTTCGTGTCCCATTGTTTCCTGCCCTGGCAAAAAGCTGCATCCTCTCCTGCCAATCTTCGGAGCACACTATCCTTGTGACAGACTCAAATTCCCCATCTAACAGAGAGAGAGAGAGAGAGAACATTTTTTTAAAAAGATGAATGACATATTGCTCCATCAGTTGTTCCATTTTGCTTAACATTGGTCTATATGCAGTTGTCAATTAACTCCGCACACGTAAATGAATGCAGTCAAACTAATGGTTTCTCTATTGGGAGGTTTTCATTGGAAATTTTAGAAACTGAACTTTGTGGTGCTGCTCTATTCGGACATTTCTCCCACTCCTATTTTTACTGCAATAGTCTAATATTAACTTGTCACCAATTGTAAAAACGTGATCGTACCGATCATATTGCAACATTGCTGATAAGTTACATATCCGAAAGTCACGTAACTAAATGTAGTATATGTAAGATGTAACATTAGCTTATTAGTTTAAGAGTAACCAGTAACGTTAACCGGGAGCATATGACACACTGAAGCATTTAACGTTAAGAGTCTAACGTTATTTCTTAATTAACGTTAACGTTAACTCACTTAGTGCACAGCCATAGCATTTAGCTAATACACAACAGCAACCAGGCTAATTAACGTGTACTACCAAACTAGCTAACCCCAATTCGCATTTGAAAAGCATTGCATTGTAGCAGTGGGAATATGCAGGCGTGACCATGACACCACTTTGTTTAAGAATATGTGACAAAAAGCATTTTATTCGGTTTGGCACCATGGCTAACTGTTAGCTGGCTGGCTAGCATGCTAGCCACAAAACAAGACTAACCACTGGATTACTGCCACATGGTAAAATATGAAAATACGGATGATACTGCATATTTAAGATACATCAAATGTTTAGGTGTACACGTATAGACACATTTTGTACGTGGAGACAGAAAAACTGTCACTTTAAATTACCAACCTGGCCACTTCCTTGGTTTTTTCTTCAATTTCTTCTGTGTTCAAAGGGGAACCTTTCTCGTGGTGTCCCAGCAACAGTAACCCTCAAACCCTTGTGGACAATGACAAATCATCGTCAATTGTCATTTAACCATAAAATAATTAATAAAACTAATCTAGCAATATTTCCTCACTTTTTGAGAAATTAAAACCAATTTGTATTTTCTATCTGCTGTTATGAGGTGGTTATTTATTTTCAGTCCCGGAAGAATAAAACCAAAATTCCCGTTCCTTACCGAGCACGTTATGCTGTGACTCAAGGAAGGGACTCCATTCGGGACTTGTTGTTATTATCCTGAGCTAACGCTAACTGTCAACCAGAAAGCCAACTGTTTTAACTCTAAACCTCAACATGTCTTCAGACTTTGAAGCTTACGAGCAGGACTTTGGAACCCTTACGGCGGAAGTTACAAACAAAATTGGCAGGATCCCCAAACTAAGTGGAGGTAAGATAGTTAAAAGCAATTAAATATATTAGCTGGAAAGGCTGAGCTGGAGCTAGCTATCAGTTAGCTGGCATTTCTCACCAGAGAACGTTAGCTAACGATATTTGATGTACGCCTACCGTACTTGTGTCATTTCATCGGTTTACCATATTGCCTTCGTGTAAACGATTTATTGCGTTAAGGTGAAACGCTTATGGGAATGGTTGAATCACGTGTTGCTGCTTGGCTTAATGGCTTGGCATGCATTTAATGGATTTAATCAATTAAGAAGTGTAACACGGGGCTTAGTGGCTCATTTAATCGTATGTTGTCTGGTAGTTGACACGTGAATGCATTTGTAGTTACGACTACTGTGGTCAGCAAACTGATCACTTATACTATAGTTGGTTAATATCAGATCATCCAAATGGACGGATAAGAGGTGCAGCAGTGTTTTTCTCTCTTGGATGGATGGACATTACTGGGAAAATGAGTTTTCCCATCACCACAAAAACACAGCAGCAGGCTTTTGTTTCATGCACCAGATTTATCTGACACCAACGTTACACACATGATACTGAGCGCTGTCCGCTGTGGTCAGAGGTGTGTTTTTAATGTCCGACTCGTGTGTGTGATGTGTGGCTCCTGTGGTTCAACAATCAAGAGACAAAAATTGTCAGGTGAATTGGTCACAATGAATTATAAATAAGGGAACTGGTCTGTCCATGTGTCATTTTGACAATGGCCTGCCCTCTGCTGAATAGGCGATATAATCAATTATTTATAACCGTTACGACTGTGTGTGCGTCTAAAAATGAAGACGGATAAATAAATGACATGATTAAACACTCCCCAGCCAAATCCACGTTAAGTGTTGTAATGGGAGTCAAGTTAGTTGTTTCCTTTTCGTTGTATTTACTTGAATAGAAGATGCTTTTACTTGCCACATCTATTGGGCTGTTACATCAGCTCTGAGCAACCATTGTGCCACTATCACGCGGTTGTGCATTGTAGCTTATTTGTTCTCTCCCTATTGACGAAGATCAAAAGCTACTTTTGCACTTCCTTGTGAATCACAGAAGGGGTAAAATAGCCATCAGGTTAGAACTTTTCAAATTATGTAAAAAATACATAGAATTCTCTGTGTAGTTTGTCTAAAGGTTGCTCTATTTTGACTGCTAAAATCTCCAATGAATCCAACCCGACTTGGAACAGTTATCTCAGACTCTCTCGTTGGTCCTTCAAAGGGCCCCAACTCTCACAAAACCTCGCCCGACTGAATATTTCGCTTTTGGAATTGACGCCTTTGAAGATTCGTGGCACCCCATTCCGCAGTGTGCAACTCCACATTGCGTCCTCTCGCCATCTGTTGACTGGGTCGGAGTAAGCCCGTATGAATATGCACAAAGCCAGGAAACGCATTAGAACCATAAGTAGTTGCTCAATGTCTTCCGCCACCCACAGAATAGTTAACAGTCTAATTTGAATTCCCTTCTTTCACATTAAGGGGATTCTTGATTTTCTTATTTAAGTCCCTCTGGCTCTTCTTCCTGAAGTGGCTGAATTTGTTTATTATTTTGAATATATCTCCAGACAAAGGGCTTTTGTCATTGCTGTTATTGCATCGCTCACATGTGCACAGTTGCTGATAATCGGCACGGCGTGTGGAAATAAATTGGAAATAATGCCTTGTAATTTATGTAACAATCAAATGAATGTCTGTGTATTTCTTTGGTACCATCGGCCAAAACATAAGGTTCAAGGATTATTTGAATAAGAACACAATAAAATGACAGATTTTTAAGTGTTTATGCAAAGTGATTGCTTGTCAAACATTGCAACTCAATCGGATTTAAAAAGAAGAAAAATATCTATATAGATTTTTGTGCCACGCCCGGTTTCTTCTTTGTTTGCTTTACTTCTGTGCACCAAACTTCTCATCTGTAAAACAGCAATCCATATTTCACAGCTCTCCAGAGCTCCATCTCACCTTTGCAGCCGCTGGCTGTTTACTGTGTAGGTTGTAAGGTTGGACACAGGTTTTAAAAATGAATTTTAGGACTCGCTAAAGTTGACGTTGATCCCGTGGTGCCAGAGAAATAAAAACTTTGGCTTGGATTTTCTTTTGATGCTATTGCAGTCCAACAACTAATAGTCTTCAGATCTGCTCTGATGAACCATAAACCACATGTCTTTAATGGAGTAAATTTAACAGAAATTATTTAATTGAATACTGCAGTAAGCCAAGCTAATAAAGTATACTTAAACTACACAAAATAAATAGTAAATATGGTCTTTTGTGTGTGGACATTATGGTTGAGCTGGTTGAGCTGCTCACGGCTTGATCTAATGAAATAATTTTCATTTTTTGGTGAAGTTTTCACCAGCAAAGCTATTACAATGCTGCAGTTTGACAGACATTTTTATACGTATTTTTTTTCTCGTTTCGAACAATTAATGATCCTCGATCGGACTCCACTCTCACGGCAAAGCTCTAATTTCCGAGCAAAGACCGTCTCTCACCACGTGCAGAAATCAAGCGGTAGTGTTGCCGCTTTTTTTAAACAACGATGGGATGCACCGCGGTTTACGCGCTCCTCTGGAACTCTTACCAAGTCCTAATGAGTTTCAACGGGGTAACGTGGAAGAGCAGCCACGGGGTGAGCTGCTAGTCGCTCCGAGTGGGGACTCATACTTCTGGCAAGTGAGCAAAGCTGACACCTCCCTTCCCTTTGAGTTGGCACGAGGTGTCTCGCTGCTCCTCAACGGAAGCCTACAAAGGCCCTCGCAGACGCCCATGACTAAGAGACATCAAATGTTGGCTCGTCGTGCAGAGAGAATGTGTAAATATATCTTCAAATGTGTCCTCGTGTGTTGTTTTTCTCCCGGTCTTTCTTTCTCTCTTCCTCCCCCGTTGCGGGGGAGTTAGGTTGTTGTCATGAAGCGCTGTTCTTCTGTCGGCTGATCAATATGTTGCTGTTTTTTTTTTCTCTTTCAGAGGAGAAGACACAGCTGGTTCTAAATGTCGACAAACAGCTTGAAGAAGTCAGAGAGTTGGTACGTCTTTGATCAGTAATTTTTCTGCTCTTCCCATTTCCTAAATAATGAATTTGTGGAAAGAGGGAGGGGGACAATCTTCACTGGCACCAGACAACGACACCTGTATTATCCTGGTGGTGACATGACATGCCGACACACACACACACACCACACGACTTCACATGGCGGAAAGGAGGCTTCCTTCCTCGCATGATTACTTTCCAGTAATCTGCTTTTAAGTGACACCCCTATGACACATTTCAAGCCATTAACTTGAGGTGGGAGTCTTCATGTCGCTGTTTAAAAATGAGCAGAGTCACCTGACTGAGACAAATTGTTGTTGCAGTTGTCTTGTTATGTCACCGTGATTAGTTTTCTTTCAAAACGCGCCACAGAGAGACCTGTCTAGCCACGCGTCAAATGTACCTCCACTTCACTCGCCGTGGCATCGTCGGGCCCCGCGCGCGTCGGCGCCATGAAGGGGGCGCTCACATTTGATCGTGTGTTTGTTTACGGAGCAGGCTTCCCTCCGTCTCGCGGCTTTTTGTCACAGCGGAGTGACGCGAGCGCGAGGCAGTCCCTCGTTACGATCAACGCGTTAAGAGTCAATGCCGCGGAAGTTACTCACTTCATAAAGTTTGCAAAAGCAACATTAACGAGACCGATGCAATGAATGAGAAAGAGCACTAAACCCGTTCATTTTTGTCACGCATCATATTCGAGGTTCTTTTCTTCGATGTGAAATGTATAGTACATTGGCCAGAAAACCGGAGTTTGTTGAATTAAGTGACGTGACTGCTGCTTTCAGCTGGAGCAGATGGACCTGGAGGCGCGGGAGATCCCCATCCAGAGCCGGGCCATGTACAACAGCCGACTGAAGAGCTACAAGCAGGAGGTAGAGAAGCTGGAGAAAGACTTCGTAAGTACTACGCCTCCCCGAACCCTCGTTAACGGCCACGCCGATGTTCCCAATGAGGAAGCGCATCGTCGGCATTTAGATGAAAATCCCTCTTTTCAAAGCGGGGCCTTCAAAATGTGCGTCTGTAGGGGCAACATATGATTTTATGCACACGACACTCTGCGGTTACGAGTCGCCCCCCCCTTCCACGTACCTCAGGGTTCACATGGACATCCAATGTTTGCTCACTCAACCAAACTACCCCCCCCCCTCCCTCTCTCTCTCCCCCAAACACAACCATCCGTCTCAGCGGCGCCTTTTCATGGAGGTTATGCAGAGTTCCTATTTGAACTCGCAGGTGATGCCTGCTGAGAACAGAAAGAAAGAGGTAGTGTGCGTCGGTGTTTTTGCCGCACAGTCTGGCCTCGTTTAGTGATTCATAAATAACCGTTTCTCTCATCTTGATCTCCAGCCTCTTTCAAAGCCCAATAAACAGCCCGGTTTTGTAGGTGCATTGCTTTTAGTTTACGTTGTTGGTAGCCAACAATGTAAACTAAAAGCAATAATGTGATAGAAATGAGTAATTATATCACATATGTCATTCCAATGGTTGCTCGTATTTGTTGTTGCACTTTTTTGTAGCTCTTCCTATTATTGTCCCTAAAGGATCGTCAGTTCATTGTTTTCCGTTCACTGAGCAGAATGTCTGTCTTTATTGATCGGTATCAGTTTCTGTTGCCAGTTTTGTTTCAATGCTGCGAGCAGCGTGATAATAAACTAAACGCAACCGACCTTGAGCCCGAGAGCAGTCGGGTCCTTGCACCAATCGGATTGATGAGAAAAAGATGGATACTTACTTATTTATTATAGTTTCAGTATTTCAGAAACTGAGAGGAGTTCATTTTATAGTTGCAGTTTATAGTTCTGCAGCTGATGCTTGAGGGAAAGGATTTCAGGAAATAATAGTACAAAACTTGACACAATTGTTGAGTAAAGTGGAGTATCCTTTTGTGGTACGAAAATGAGTAGAATCCCATTTCAACTAAATAGAATGCTCCATAAATATTTTGGACGTATTTGTAAAGATAATGACATGATTCTCATTTGTATCTTGTTGCACCGTGTGTGTGTGTGTGTGTGTGTTCCAGCCCCCCTAATCATTATCCCAAACATCTCCTTGATAACTCCAATGCATAAAGAATGCGTGTGCGTCGTGTGATCTGTGAGGACACCACGGAGTCGTGCTGGCTGGGATCACAGGAGGAGATCTCTGTGCCAAGACGGTTTACTTTCCTCGCCACGGGCCTTTAATTGGCAGACGATTAATCTGTAACTTTTCTTCTCCACGCACTTACCGCGCTTGATCGGCAAGCGGGCAGTCGCCCCCCCTGGTCGTTTGCAAATATTTCCGGCTTACGAGTGGACGTTTGTTTGCTTTAACCGGGGGAAAAGTGAGAATTTCCTCCAGCCATTTCAGCAAAAGAAAAGGGACGTTATTGCTTCTAAATTCCTGCGGGCTGGAGACCGAGAGGCTGAAAAGCGAGCACGCAGTGGAGGTCAGTCCAACTGGATGAAGAATAAAAGGATACTGCTCTGCTTGTAACCCCCGACTCGCTGCTATAACATTTTTTTTCTCAGCCCTCAGTGTGCGGTGCGCTCAGATCAGCGTGCATTTAAACCACGAACACCCACCTCGCACGGGAACATCTAGTATATCTGCTGTCTAAATCTGATGCAAGTGTTCAGAGGGCAAGAGCTTCACCCTCCAGCCCCCCCCACCCCCTCAGATGTGCCTCAGATGTGCCAAATGCTGCAGCCGAGCTCAGCCTCTCACTTCCTGCCGGCCTGGGGAGGACATGACACTCTGCTCGGGGAAAAAGGCGTCTACTGAAAAAAAGAAAGAAAGAAAACGGAGATCTCCTTTTCTTTCTAATGTAAAAAGCTTTCGGCTTTGTTGTGCTTTCCGCGGATATCAAGGCCTTTCCACTCTCTCACTCGCCCCAATCTCCCCTCAACCCGACCCCCTGCTGGTCTCCCACGGGTGTCTCCTTCCCCCCACCCCCCCACCCCTTAACCTGCTCTCTCATCCTTCCGTTTGCCCCGTGGTTTGAAGTCTCCCTACCACCGGTGTGCCAGCTTGAGACCTCATTCCTGCTCCTTCCCACGCAGGGCCCGAGTCGACCCCCGGCGACCCCATCATTTCATCCGGGAAGACGTTTATCAAACGGCCGTCCCCAAAGGTGTGTGTGTGTGTGAGGTGCAGCTTTGTTGGCCCGGTTGACGGCTTCGTTGCGATAATAGAGGGGACAGCGGGAGGGGTGGGAGGGGGTCTTGAAGGTGCTGGTTCGTGACGGGAAACGGGCAATCCAGCACCTAGAGGGGACGCCAGCCTGACCTGAAAAAGGTGGGGGGGGGAGCTTGAGATAAACGAAAATCCCATTTCATGGAGGTGGCGTGTGCCGGCCGGGGGAAGCAGGGCAGCGCGGCTCTTAGCCGTGGCTTTGATCAGGCAATGAGGAGGTAAGCTTAATTTAATGAAATCCTCTGGGTAAACAGAGCCACCGGCCTCAAAGGGGCCGCACCGGGTCCACCCCAGTCGGGAGGGTGGGGGGTTTCTACCACCAAGTTTTAGTCCACCTCCATTTAGCAGTTGGTCGTAGAGGATCATAAGCAACATGACATCATTGGTGAAGCCGGGTTAAAACAACTGTGTGTTACTTCAGAAGCGTGGGTCACTTGTCTAAATTCCCACATTAGTACAACGCACAAAGCTGCAAGTTACTTGACTTGCACTTAAATACTTCTTATTCCAGTAAAGCTTCTTAGTCCAGTAAATCTGCTTCATATTTCTTCCTATGCTTACTTTGCGTCAAGTGTTTTGAGGGGTCTCTTAATATTTGAGGGACTCTTACTTCAAGGCCTCAGCATATCTGCCACCTGCGCTGGCTGCCGCGGTTGTTGATCTCTTTTGCCACCAGGTGGCGCTATTGCCCCAAGAATCTTCTCCTCCTGGAGGTACAAGACAAGGACACTATTAGGCACATTTACCAATTACTTTTCTTTTTTGATGTACGAGTGGCCTTGCTATGATAAATCCTACCACTTATTACTATGTCTGCCTTTATCCTTCATGCTTTGTAAAGGAGATTGGAAATAATTGTAGCAGAAATGTCCTTGTGGTGAAAGCCAATCTAATACAAAGTGCATTAAATATAATGTGGTCTAACTTTATATATTCTCTCTTTGTCTCTGCCCAGTCAAGCCCTGAAAGTTAATTATCCAAGCACAACTTAAATGAAATAGCATCTCTTAAGAAAAGTTAAATGTCGTTTTTTTTTTTTTTTTTTTTTAAATCCCAGTGTAAACATGCCTTACTGTGTTTAAGCTAAATGTTTTCTTTATTTTGTTTTCAGTAGCAAAGCCACTTCTGGTCCAAACAGGAGAGTCTCTGTCCATGACTCGGATGAAGGTTAATTGGCAGTCATAAAATATCAAGCTCTGACCAGCTTTATTGTTGAATACTTCACGTTTTCCCGGCATTAAGCGGTTATCGGTGTCAGTGATGGTCGACGCAGTTTTGTTGATGCAATGAGAGTCGCTGGGTAATTCTTTGGTGCAACGACTCGTTTAATTGGATCCAGTTGCACCCAGTGTCGCTTATTTGTGTCGCGTTAACGCCTACTTTTTATATGAGGTATACCCAATTTATTACAAGATGTGAAGAATATGATGCGGTCAACTCACCCAAAGTACCTCTTTGCAAAAGATGTGGGTATTGAAATAGTTGATCTTTGTGTTTCCTGATATTGGGACATTTTAGCCAACCGTCACAGGGACGCAAGTATCCCCCTCTACATTTCTGATTTGTCTTTTGGTTTCTTTTTGAGTCCCGGTCACGGTCAAGTGGGACGTCTGCACTGCCCTTTCCTTTTCTTTAAAGACCTTTTTGGATGGGATGCGTCCTAATTTCTTCCATGGGAGATAATTAACAAATTTTAAAAGAGTCGCCCGACCTTGAAACATTGAGCAGTTTGTTTGCCAGGTGCACAAATTAAAAAAAATAACCTTTGTAGAGCTGATTTAGCTTTCTTTCAATTGAGACAAATAGTGAGCGCTTTATTCAATGAACTGGTACATTGGAACTTTTTTAATAGCAACTTTAAAAAATAATCTATTTGAGTAATGTAAATTGATACGAGTCGATAAGTGTTTTTTAATGAGTTGTACGCGTGTCAAATGTGAAACCAGGCCCTGGGTGTAGCTCATGGTTAGTCTGTGGCCCCTCTTGTATCAGAATGAATTGACTTTATTGTCGAAGAACTAATGACTTTACGAAACACTGCTCCGGACTCGTCTTTCACTTTCCAGGAAAAATGCTATCAGAAGATTTCCATAAGCCCTTTTAAAAAAATCTGTTTTCCAAACCGCAGAGGCTTTTAGTTGCCTCTGCAGCTGAAGGTCAACCACAATAAAGAGTGTAGGGTATTGTCTCTATATGCATGCTCCCTGCTGCAGTGTGTAAACCGGTATATAGGCTTCTTCTAGTCACTCGAAGCACACTAATACCTTGTTCGGTGCGTTGACAAATATAACCAAAACGATGTAGATGAAGCTGCTCCTCATCTAATTCACTTATTTTATGTTCATTTTTTTTTAAATCAGCGGTCACGGGAAAATCAAGGTTACAGAGTCGATCCAACTCTGGCTGTTAGCAGCCATGAACTCCTTTACGTGCGCCGCAAGCCAGGAAAGAAGCAGTTTGCAAAGTCATTCATCAGACGATTCTGCATCTGCTCTAAGAGGCTCCCAAAGCCAACGCTGATAATTCTGTCGAGATTTAGGTTTTGATGGGAGATTTTAGCGCCGCTGTACTCCACCCGCACTCGATAGCACCGCTAGCACGCGTTTGAGTATATTAGTAATCCATCTTGAAGGGTTCTCGCTGCCCCCCCCCCCCTCCCTCCCACTCTGTCGTGGAGACGGTGACTCCTCCGCGCAGACAACATGACAGGGGAACATTA